AGGTCGAAAAACAAGCTGTCGTAATCCCCTCGGTCAAAGAGATAAACTTTTTTGGGGCATGGCTTATCAGTCGCAGTGTGCTTACATGTAACATTTATAATGATAGCTTTGTGCTCACTGACGCCCGGAGGCGTCGTTACCGAATGGATGGCGGACGAGTGATTAGTAAGGAAAAGATCTAGTATGATTCACTTGTTGCGCCATACCTTGTTGGAAGCAATACACACTGTTGCAACTCATGGGTGTCTACGAGTTCCTTGAAAGTTTTATACAGTGACGAAGAATTTCGCAAAAGTGGCAGATTGTTGACCCAATCAATGTCCAGAAGATTGAAGTCGCTACCAAGAATGACGTCATCAGGCATTATTGCAGATAACACAATAGAAAGACACAAAAGGGGATTCGGTGAATCGTTATTTGGGGGTCTATAAAATGCGCCTACAGTTGAAAATTTATAACCCTGGAGTTTTATATTGCACCAAACAGATTCGCTCATACAGTATGGAAATTCAAGAGCTGTGCTTTGTAGGTTTTTCGAGACGAGTAAAAACACCCCCCTCCCCTTGAATTTCTGTCTTTGCGGTAGAGTTCGTAGTTGGGTGGAAATATTTCAGAGTTGGTTATGGAAGGGTCAAGCCAAGATTCGGTACCACAAACAACATCAGCATCTGTTGTAGCAAGAAGAAAAGCAAGGTCATCCTTTTTATTTTTGATACTCCTACAGTTCACTGCAGGGTATTGAACCAAACCCGAACCGTGAACCGAAAACCGGAAAAGACCGTTATTTTCGCGCCAACCGGAGTTGAACCGGAACGAAATCATTTTTTTCGCTCCGGAGCGGAACCGATATTCCTTCCATGCAATTTTCGGTTCATACGCGAAGTCAGCTTGCATGAAAAAGGCGTGGCGAAAAACACGGTAACCAAAATAGTGAACCAAAAAATTTAAAGAAAAAATTATTTTTGCGCAAATTGGAGATGAATAGGACCGAAATAATTATTTTTTCGTTCTGGGAAAAAACTGATAAATTATTTTTGCGGTGTTTCTTTCACATAGGAAGTCAAAAAGCGAGAAAAATAGGTAGCGGAAAGCTCTGTAACGTTTCATGATCAAGTTTTCACATAACGGTCGTCTTCATAATTTATAAAGTTTGTCTCGAAAACTCAAACGAAATGAGCACCGTAACTATAAATTCTCCGGGATTGCTGGTCTTATGTATTTCTTAAACAAATGCCCATATTCGTCCCAACCCTTTCTTGGGGACCGGAAATGGCTCATCAAAGGAAATTTATCACTAGAACATACCCAATTCGTACGTCACCAAAGATGACCAATTAATGAGCCTGTTTGGTGGCAAAACGGTGAGTTGGGCTGGTTAATTTTTTATCTCAAACTACACACAAAAAAAAAGGATAAAAAGAAATATAGACAACACGCCAAGTGTTGTCTATACCTCTTTTGTCCTTGTTTGTTTTGGCGTTCTGTCCGAGTTTTGTTTAGTGTTTCTTGTCTTCAATTTTGTAGAGTTGTGTGCAATTTACATTAAACGCCTTGATTTCATTGTACATCTGAATGGATAAGAAAGCGATACAAAGGCCGATTGATATTTTAGAACCTGCAGTATCTGCCATATTCTGGCGCATCCAATATGCTTTTAAAATATAACTCAGCGGATTTAATATTCTGTCCGAAATTAAAGTCTAGCACCGGGAAGGGGAGGGAGGATTCAAACAACAGTTACAGCAACAGAAAACAGCAAAAAGCCTTCGATCTCTGATAGCAGAAACAACAAGGACCAAAACGTTTTCTCCTAAGAAACACAAACAGCAAGGCGCACAGCTCTTCTGAACATTGCTACACAAGGAGCCGCGGCTTTCAAGGGATGCTAACGTGTTGCTGTTTTGGGAGGAAAGAAGACGCCGTCCAGAACTCTACGCATTAGCGCAAGTAGCCCTGGGAGTGTTTGCGACCCAGGTCACCGCGGAACGATCCTTTTCTGCACTGAAGTTCATTCTATTGACTAATAGGTGCCGTCTTTTCCCCGGATATGCATGACGATGTCCTGCTTCTTCGGTCAGCTGCCTGATATTAAACTGCGCTTTCACCAACGTCGCGAGGTGCCACAGCACGAGCTCGTTCGTTCCACACACTAATGTGAGCCTTTGCATTCTATATGTAACACTTTTATAAAATATCCATAGTTTATTTTTTGCTGTCGTCAATTGTTTTTGTAGGATATGAGTATGAACCGGTTTGAACCTTTGTTTTTTCACTTCGGAGCTGAACCGTTTTTCCTGAACCGGAACGAAAACCGGAACGAAAAACATTTCGGTTCGACACCCTGGTTCACTGTAACAAAGACAAGTTCCTGTACGCCTGGCCTTCTGATATCACTTTTTTGTCGTGGCTATAGAGAGGTTTCAAACACTGTGTCGGCGTCAGGATTGTACTGGTATGTTTTACCACGAATAACTAACTTGTTGTATCGTAGTTTGAATTTGGCGTTTTGTTCCCTGGCGTACTCTAAAAGTTTGCGTCGTTAGATTAAAGGTTAAAGGTGTACTGACACGCCAAACGCCATATTTTTTTGTTGTCTAAAACAATGCAAAGTGTAGTCATAGACACAAAAAAAAAACACAATGCAAAAAAAAAAAATTGCGCGCATTTTTTATTTTTACTTTTTTTATTTCTCTCCTCACCTCCTTGCTTCTTTTTATTTGTGATGCAATCGATTATGAAATTTACAAGCATTGTAAGCAAATTTTCTATAATATATAATTTAATAACGGCATTCGTAAAACATGCTTTTTAATGCAATTGCAAACACGCTATGGCCCTTCTTTTTGAAATACTGAAAGTCAGAGTTGGGAGTGACGTCGCCTCCCAGCTTTTTATCCTCTCTCGGAGGACGTGGCGGCGCTCGACACACATAGCACCGAGGATGATCGGTGAGTCGAGGAATCGGACAAAGTTCTCTTGTTTTTAGATGCCCAATGACCTCTCGGACTTTGAAAAGGAACTTGTCAAACGGTAAAAGCAACTGGGTTTGGTGTCTGTACCGTAGTTTCAGTTGTGCAACAGTCAACAGGCGCGATGTGGCCCCCCACGTCACTCACGAAAGTCCACTGTGCGTTCTTTTCGACTTGGCAGAATTTCAAAGATTTTGAGATTCCCGTAAAGGCCCTAAAAGAACTTCAAACCTGAAAGTGAAGCGTCGTCTGCTCAGAGCGATAGGCGCCAGGCTCAGAGAAGAGCGTTTGATTGCGGGAAACACGACGGTTCGGTCGGGACGGTTTGGAGGCATGAGAGAAACTCAAGTTGCAGGACGACTGAATCTTTGACGTCACTACACTTTTGATTGTGCAGGAACTTTAAGTTCAGGTTTTGGAAATTGCATTTTTGTCCTCACAAATGCAGAGTTCCCAAGTTTTGAATTTTGAGGTTAATGTCCAGGCATCGTTTTCAATTGTTTCGAGTAATAAAAAAAATATGATTTTGATCTGTCAGTGCCTCTTTAACTTCAACGGTGAAATGAAAGCTTGGGAAACACGTTTGTTCTCCACATGCCAACTTTGCTCCATCATAAATGTCTACATGTAAGATATCATTGATGCGCAGCTTCGCAGTTTAATCAAGCTTTGCAATTGATGCTAAGAGGTGGTTACGCACAGAATGGGAGAGCAAAGGTGCGCCATATTTTATTTGTACAGGTCACGCAGGTTCTAACATAGTTTTCACGGTAGAATGAACAAGAATAAAAAATATGTTTGTGCTCCCAAAGTGTTGTTTGCTGCTCCATTATGAACTTACGGCTGCTCAGAAGCTGCTCGAAAATGATTCAAACCGATCGCATCACTGTCAGCTCCATGCGGTTTGAGTGGAGCACCTGGTTCTACCTGAGCGGTATTTTTGTTTTTGCCCCTTCCTAGTGGAAACGGACTGCGATAGTTGACACTGCAACCTGATCCCAGGAACCTTTCAGTCTACAGGGTAGCCAAGTCGACACCCGTGAGCTAGCACGTGGTCCTAGCTTTAAAGAGTGCTTTTCTAGCGCAAGCCTCATTGCGCAAAAGTATATGCCACTTCAGTCAACTTTATGTCTGACGACGACGTCACGAAAGGGCAGCGTAGTGCAGCACGTGACCTAAGACTGCCTGCGACATGAGGCGGGTGTCTCCAACTCGGCTGCTAACCGGAAAACAAAGCGGATGGTCTGTCAGTCCTAAACGAGCGTAAAAGTGCTCAGCCTGTGCTGTGCAGGGATGCGGAGCTGCGACAGATGGATGAGTAGATATGGCGAAACCTGCTAAATTCTTCGAGTCTGGCGGTGGCTTACGCCCTTTAGCGGTAGGTAGCACGAGTTGCTTACGGCAGCTCGACACCATGCTAGCTGCAATGTGACACCTATCATACACTGGCAGACGCTTCGTTTCTTTGGGCTCAAGGCTGGAAGAGGGCTGGAAAGCGAGGTTTAGCGCATGGAAGACTTCCTACTTACCCGTGATGCCGCGTGTCTGGCGGTGCTCATTTGGGCGCTACGGCGAGGACTTCCTTTTCCTCACAGCGGCTATCCGAGCTTCTTTTTCCACGAGACACAGCTTGGCCGACCAAAATCTAAAATACCATAGGTGCTCTCTTTCCTGTAAAATGAATTCTCGCAACCTTCGGCGATACAGTTCGCCGGCATTACGAGAAATAAGGCGACCTACGACGTATATTGTTTTTCCGCAGCAGCCTGGTACAATGTAGGCTCAAGTTCGGCCGCACATGCAGTTGCTCTCGGCCCGGAGGGGGGGGGGGGGGGGGGGGGCAGTATTGTTTTGCCCATGCGCAGCATAAAAGTCACTTGGCGGTTGCACATTTTTTTGTGCGTTTGAATTACCGGGAGCTTTCTTCCATTCAAATATGTGGGACTTTGACGGATCCCTCGCGGGAGTTTTAATTATGTCTGCCGCTTGCGGACATGTGCGAAAGAAGTGGTCTTTTTTTTTCCGTGCCAGGAGCCCATTGCCTTGCCAACACTACGAGACGCCGCGGGGCTGCTGCGGGGACCTGGGCGCAGTAAGTGCTTCACGCCGAGGTACTCGCAGTTGTGTGCCAGCGAGTCCCACTGCACTTGTCCCGAAAGATTGTATTCCAACTCGGCGCAGCGGCCGACATTAGACAGTTGATATTGGACAGACGGTCTAATTGCCCTGGGAAAATTTTGATACGGGAATATTTTTGTAAAGTTTGCGGCATGCTAGCATTGAAAAGTTTGGCCCAATCGCAGAGTGGGTATATTCTGGTCGTCACGTGCGTCTTGTCGCAGTGAGGATGCTCGCGCAATTCGAACTACTGCGTACGTCCAAACTAGCAAAAACTGTGACAGAATGGGCCCGGCAGTCGAACATAGTGCCACTCGCAGACATTTTGTGTTGTTTTTTCCCAACGTGCACCCTGGTCTTGACGGCTGCGTCGGGGTTTGCGTGTTACCGTTGCTATTGTGCGAGTACATTGCAAGTAAACTCAAAAAAAGAGTGTCTGATGAGTGTCGCAGAAGTCTGACATATTGCAGTGCGTTTTTTCTTAGAATGGATGCTTGGGCGAGTTGGATATTCATATTGTAGAAGAAGCGCAAAAATAAACTCACACTGAAAATACACGCACACCAGAAAAACGGTCACTCACGTCGCGCACCGCGTTTTTTGAGGATGCCTGGGGTGTCAGCTTCTGAGACCATGTTTTGTCGAGACAGCAGTTTGAAAACCCTGTTACGTGGTTTTGAACTGGACTCTCGGATCTCCGAGAAAGCAAGCAGTGGCGGTGTTTTGAGTTGATTTTAAATTCTTACGTCGTATTGGAGTATCCGAAACTCACTCTCAATTTTAAAATAGTCGGTGGGTAGCGTGCCAAGGTGCCTGTGGGATTTCTTTGTTCGTAAATTATTATCAAAACTGGGCCGATTCTCAATCATGTTCTGCACTGAAGTTCCTCCTCTCGGACAGCCTTCTAGCCTCTTTGCTGCATGCCTGTGTATCGCATACAGACAATCTATCTCGAAGCATCATTTTTCTTTCTAAGCATAATATGCTCGTACACCTTCACCAATAAAAATAAAATATGAAACTGCTTTGAGCCAGAAAACAACTTTTTTCCCTAATGTCACTAGCCGCTGCAGCTAGCCGGCTTGATGACTGTTTCGGCCCAAACAGCAATAGAGTTTTGTGACCTTTGCTTCTGTAGGATACTACGAATTCCAGGGCTCGCTCTAAAATCGGCCGGACAGATGTCGGAACTTTCAAGGAGCAACCTCAAATTTTCATAAAAGGTGCCTTGTAGTGGTGGATTTTACCTCGCGACGCCATTTTATGCTTGTGACGCTGTTTCCCGGTAGGAGCTGCAAGCAGACAACGACCTGTGGTTGAAAGTGGTTGTCACTGCGGTCTGGTTACTGCGCCTATCTGGAGATGGTACCAGAAGCACAATCCTTGGTTTGCTCTGCCCTCTGTAGCGGCATCAGCGTAAACACTGTCCAGGATGTTGGTCTAATTTGTCGCAGGAAGACAGCTATGCTTTGCAAGTTTGGAGGGTGAAAATCACCACTAAGATACACCTTTTATGAAAACGAGAGATCGCTACATGCAGGCACCTATCTTCTTAGCCGATCCCAAAGCGAGGCTCGGGATCTGTAACAAACCCACTATTATTATAAAAGAATGTGTTCAACAAATGTTTGCTCGAGTGATGAGGCTCTATCTGTTTGTTCGATGTGAGTCTGCCGGTAACTGCTAGTTGTGGCTCCGGAGTTAAATAGGAAGCCAGCAAGTTTCAACCTTTTCTGCACAAACAAACGCTGAAAGATATTACTGCCGTAAAATCCTGAGATAGCCCATCAAGAGCAAATTGGCTGAAAATATGGAGTGGGCTAACTTTCAATGTACAATCAAGAAAAGTTAAAAAAAAATTGCTATTTTTAGGTCGTGTCGATTCCAAGCTTATGGTGGCGAGGGGCAACGAAGCAAAGATCGACTAATTCCCAGTCAGCAACGTGCGCTTACCGTAAAAACCCACATATAATACAAAACAATATAAGGAAAATGAAAATATTCCGCATACAATACGACCCAGGAAGTCTTAAGAAGGTTTATTTGCGTCATAACTGAACCTTAATTGCTGTCATCACATCCATCAGACTCCTTGTCCGACGCCTCCAGAGCGCATTTAAAATCCTGCACTTCTTGAAAAGGCGAGCGACCAGCGGACCAGCGTGCCCACACAGTGAGAACCCGGCGCAGTGCATAAGGCGAGCAACCCAATGTCGGCTCGCCAAAGTTCGTGCAGAAGCTCGATGTTTACGGCAAGGTGCTGTTCACTTTGCTCTTTTACAAAGTCGCTGAGGCTTGCCTCGACGTCGGCCAACGCGCCATTCTTTGGTCCTCTAAAGCTTCTTCTCGTTCCGTTGCACGCAAACACAGCTTGCTTTTGTCGTCTCCATTCACGGATGCTGCCCTGATTTACGGCGAATTGTCATCCGGCAGAACTGTTGCCGATGCCTTCCGGAACAAAAAGGACTTTATGAAGGCGGATAATTATCGTTTTCGCGCCGACGCCATTGCCGAGCCTCACTGTGGACCACTGTAAACGGATGGTGGCGCGTTGAACATTGCAATTTTAATGATGCGGATAGCTGTTTTGAGCGTCATATTGCTTTGAAACCGAAACTACTTCAAACACCGTTAAATCGCGCCTCATCGAAGCTGAAAATTGTTGGGACCCACGTATAATACAAGCCGCAAATTTTACATGGCAAAATTTGCAAAAAGACCTCATATTATATGCAGGTTTTTACGATATACCCTGGCCATAGCGAACTAGCTGCATTTATGCCGAGGCCATCATTGATCTCAACACTACTATTACTATGAGTGGGCTATCTTTCAATGTTTAAAAAAATATAGCAAATCAAGCCAAAAACAGGGGTGGGCTACTTTTAGGGGGTGGGGCATCTCTCAGGATTTTACGTTGGTATAGTACTGCACAGAGTTTAGCCAGAAATGAACTGGGAGAAATTTGCAGCCTAAACACCATACCAGAAATTGGTGCATCCGGAGTTGTGGTAACCACCAAGTTTGTTGGCAGGGCTCCTGTCCCGCAGACTTCTGCTTCCCTGGCAGCGGCTGCGTACCCTACCAGAACCGGATGCCCCGAGTGAGTGCAACGCATTCTCATCACTTTTAGTTTCATTCTTATTTATTCTAATAAATGCCTTTGATTGAACAAAAAAATGGGGATCCAAACAGTATTGGGGCGCATTATTATCATCATATTATTATTTTTGTTATTATTAAATGTCACATCTTGCTTGGGCATGAAAACCACAGAGGTGGCACAAATATACTGCGAATGTCCACCATGCATCCACAGCCTGAGGAAGCCTGTGGGACCATGCATGCAGCAAGAGTACTGTCAAACCCGACTATATATCGAAACTGTTTATATGAATTGTCCCTTATATCGAACAATATTTTGTGCACAGTAATGTTACAGTGATAATATATAGCTAAAACTGTGGTTGCATCAAACAAAAATAGCAGCCGCTACCGATTTATCCAACTGCTAAGAGTGCCATTTTGCTCTGGTAGCTGGCTTTCCCCCAACGCAGCCATCTGCCTTAGGGGAAAGCCACCTTGCAGAGCAAAACGGCGCTCTGCAGGAGAAGGTGTTCCTGCTCGGACGTGCACCGTGCTCTCAGCATAGTTCGGCGCTAATGCGCAAATATAGAAGGAAGTGGGCCTCAGTATATTGGAGTTTGTTGATAGTGTAGAAAAATATTGTTATTGCGGATGCAATGAAGAAAAAGCAGCAGGAGATGCATGACTATTTCATTGTGTAACATGTCAGCAGAAAGTGGATTTTTGAGAGTCAAATTCATGAAAACTATTCTATCAAATTACACCATATATTGATCTAATTAACGTTTTTTTTGTGAGTTCGATATATGCGGGTTTGACTGTACTGTCTGAAATACTCCTAAAGCCTCAATTAAATGCTCCGAGAACTTTCTTTGTTCACTGTTGTGCGTAAAACATGAAAGTGGATAAAAGATACCGCTTAAATGTTTGGACAGAGTTTCTACGCAGGTCAGGATTTTTCGTTCTGTTGCTAGTTCTTGGTTGTTCGGTTGCGCGAATGTTTCTTAAAAGCCTGCAACTTTATTTGTGCAGCTAATTGGCATGATTACCACATTGGTCGCTACCATAATATACAGATAAGAAAAAGAATTTTAAAAGTACCGAAAAAATTGCAGACTCTAATTTTCAAAAATCCCATTTTTGAGGCCTTCTTAGCCCAGACTATGTCTCAGACTGAGAAGGCATTCAAATAAAAGAAATATAAATGACGATTTGTCAGCGTCGAAGGGCCCGACATGGAGCCTGTGGGATTTTCCTCGCTGCTACCCATCTTGCAGAATTACACAGCGCACTGGTTCAACAACACGCAGCCATTTGTTGGCTCTTATCATCACGTGCCACGACCCAAAAGAAGCCACATACATATGGTGCGACGGCCTTCTACCGATTGCTCTTGGTCCCTTCGCGGCAAAAATGCTCACGGACGATTTAGCCCGTGGGCAACCTGGTCCGACGTTTTAAATCACCAGGTTGCCCACGAGCCCAAGCTCCGAAATTTGAGCAACTTCAACTTGCCGAAGCTCCGTACATGTGCGACCCCATGTTCCGACGCCGACGATCGGTGTTGATTACGTCGGTTTCTCTCACTGTGTTTTGGCACATCTAAAAGCGGCGTGCGCGTGGAGGTGGCATTATCGTGGGCACCATTCTGCAGATCCAAACTAGCACTATATTTCGTTTCACTTTACGACGGACCGCAGCCGATACTACGAGCCATTCCAGTAAATTGAGCGCCGTGAACTTGTCACTCGTGTAGGCATCTCGTACGTCGGCGCGCCCTTCCCACACTTGCACGACATTCGATTTACTTTGTCGGCTCGTCCGCAGTCGACTGTGAGGTGAAACGGAGTAGAGAGACTTGGACTGGACGAAGCGGGCGCTATTTTAAGGCGCACCTTCCCGATTGGCCCGCGTGCTCCCGTTCACCCTTTGTCGCCTGCTTGCTCTCGCTTCACCATCCGAGAAGGACGCTGCATTTGCCGCTCAAAAGAGGCCCGTTTTGTGCACCAACTGATGGGAGCGCGAAACGCCTGACGAGCGTTCGCGGCCGTCGACGGCGTCCTTGTTACGTCTTCGCGTCACAATGCATCATCTGCTCCGGCCTCGCCTAACGCGCCCGTAGCGTCTCGGCTGCGCTCGCATTTTCCCGCGGCCGCGTTCTTGCGATCTCTCCCTGCCGCGAAGGTTTGGCACCTAGACATTAAAAAATTTATTCCCAACCGGCGTCACTCTGTGCGTGATCTTGCATCATTCGGCCCGCTGGAGTTGCTCAGAGCTCGAGTCGGATCGTGTGGCTGGGACTAGCCGACATCGATGAGGGACCAAAGTCGACCGACACGCGCGAAATCTGCGCGAAACGCTTCTCCTGTAAACCGCATCGTGGTGCCACTGTCTCGTCGCACGCTTCCAATAGCCTCGGCCCGTTTCTTGCAGGCAGCGATGCCTCCCCACCGCCACCGAGTCTGATACAGCCCGTCCGAGTGGTGAGTGCAACGAGGGATCTGCGCACTGTGCAGGGTGTCTACCAACTGGGAATCCTCAGGGATTTTGAATAGCCTGAAAAATCTCGGGGAAAACTCAGGGAATTTGTGCTTCAATCAGGGAATTTTTTTTTTTTTATTTTTAAAAGTGTTACAGGTAAACTTTCGCAGTCCAAAATTCTTCAGATATCAATGGAATGGGCCAAACGTACAGTCGAGCCTGGTTATATCACACCCGTGTATCTCGAATTACTGTTTATATGAAACAGTCCAAAAATCCCCTAGAAAATCACATTGTTTTTCTGTATCGAATGTCCAAAACTCCCATGGCGGGGACACTCGATGTAGCGAACGAGGAGGAAGCACGGCCGTCCTTCGCTTCTGCCGGGGTCGGATTGCTCCGGCGGGGAGCACATAGCTCGGGTTGCGGGGCTGGCAGACTGCCAAGCTGACATACGCGCACGTGGGGACGCGCAGCGAAAAAGCAATTCTATAAAAAAAAAAAAAAAAAAAAAAAAAGCAACCAATAAAACCAAAAGTGGAGGATGGCAAAAGCAAGGGGAAGGGCACCTGTAGGGAGGGCAGGGAGTTCCCGCCGTTGGTCGCGTGCGCTCTTTTTCCCGAACACCGCTGTCGCTGCGCGACTCCTTAGCCCCAAAAATAAAGAACAAAAAAAAAAAAAAACTGTCAAGTGGAGTGTGTTGACAGCAAGGGTTGAGCAATCTCACTTTGAACGCCTTATCTTTGTTTACCTTTTCCTTTCCCACTTATTGCTCCCGTTTTTCTTTTAGAGCGCAGCTCTAGGCGCCCGTTTCCGGATTGAGCGGCGTTGCCGTCGGCATAACCGTGAGGTTACGTGACACCCCCCCCACCTTGAGGTCACATGACCTCACGGGGGGGGGGGGGGGGGGTCACGTAAACCTCAGTTTCTCAGTTTACCTTTTTTTAATATTTTATTCGCTATGCATTTTACTAACCACTCCGTTCTGTTTTCTTTTTGAATCTAATAAAAGTGGCTCGTTACTAATAAAACTGTATTATGTTTTTTTGTTTTTTATTTTATAACATGCTTTTTAAAGAGTGACAGCATCTGGCAACATGGTGTCAGCCCATCTTGACCTAAAACAAAGTTCTGTGTCACTCAGGGAATTTCACAAAAGTACTCAGGGAAAACCTGGAAAACTCGGGGAATTTGAAAATGTCAACTTGGTAGACAACTTGGTGCAATACGTGCAATGCTGTTTTGCCAGAAGGTGGCTGTGTGCAACAGCTACCATAGTTGCACGATTGTGGGTCGGCCCATTTTTTATATTGGAAAAACTCAAACTGGGGGGGGGGGGGGGGGGGGGGGGGCAGATGACCTAATATTTGGAGTCAAGCATTATGCCCCCTCATATTCATTTGCAATTCCTATTTTGGTTATGGCTTTATGCAAACATTGGCCCATTTAGCTTTCTCGACACCGACTACACTGCTGGGTCATTAAGGAATGCGGGTGCAAATTTTCGAAACTTTCGCTTCGAATAACGTACTACTCAATTTGCCGTCTTTGAATCGAGCTCTAGCTGTGCCGGGTGGTCTGTTCAGGCGGACCTCTTTGTCGGCTCTGCCGAGTGCACTTCTCCACAGCGCACCGATGCGCTGCGGAGGCATCGTGATTGTTTTGCTTTCTCGTAGTGCAGTAGCGTGCTCGGGGCAAAAAGTACTCTTCCAGAGTGGGATGGCGCATGCGTGTGCTTTGAAACTTGATTTAACTTTTTATTGCCTATGCAACAGTACAATTTTGATAATAAAAGTGTGGCTGGTACGTAATATAGATTCTCGAAGAGTTTCCTTCACCATTGGGCTTATTTTGTTTTTTTCAAATTTGAGATATAAAGGTTTCTCATCAACCTTGATAAGTTGCTGCTGGGCTGCACGTAGGTTTAATTTTACACAAAAAATTTCTCATTTAGCTATAATGCTTTTACTAGCCTCCAACTGTTTGGGAGCAGTGTCATTCAAGTTCGAATCAAATGTAAATGATATTGATGAATGCCAGCATAATCGAGTTCATCTCAAGTTTTTAAGGAAGGCACCTTCACTGTCTCTGTGCCGACGTTGCACCACATAATTCTACTCGTAAACGGCTCCTGGTGTGCACTATGACGGAAGATTTTTACTCGGAAATAAAAATAGTGGTTTTGTTGCAACTTTCAGAACTTGAACAGAACATATGCAATTTTATGCTCCAAATTGTTCTGCTTCGACGTCATTCTAATGAAGTGCCATTTACAAATGCCCATGCCATGTCATCGTCAATGGGAATAATGTTTAGGAATGACTGCTGCAATTGTTCTTTCAAAGAGTGGCGGGGTGGGATGCCACGCCAAAACAAATGGGCAGTCGGGGAGTTTGGAAACGCACCAAATTAGGATGGATGCTCCGGGCAACTCCCAAAGAGGAGCGACCATGTAGGACGGTAACCATGAGTCGGATACGTCGCAGGAGGGAGCACCGGCCGAAGACGCCAGCATGGCGCCAACGGAGGACGCCAGCATGGAGGTCGCCAGGGATCCCAGCCGGCTGTCAGCCCTGGAGGTGTCCGTCGACGGTGAGATTCGAGAATTTGACCAATCATCGGTTTCCCCGGGCGGCGCGATTGCCTCGGCTGGCACACGCCATGCTCGGGTATTTCGCACCACCTAAAAAAAAATACCCAAATTTGTGCGAGTACAACGTGACCACAAATATAACGCAAGGGCAGGTTTTGATTCCCACTAAAAGAAAAAAAAAAAAAAAAATGAAAGAACCGCATCCTTATGTGGTGAATGATGTTGATTGGGGCGAAGCTCTGGTGGTGCTTGTCTGCGTAGACGCTGAGCCGCAGCATGCCGAGCCTTTCGTTCGTTTTCATCCTTGTCACGCTGCGGTCAAATGCTCCAATGCGTATATAACCACGTTCCATACCACACATTCTCTTTCTGACATGGATGAAAACGAACGAAAGGCTCGGCATGCTGCGGCTCACCGTCTACGCAGACAAGCACCACCAGAGCTTCGCCCCAATCAACATCATTCACCACGTGGAGATGCAGTTTTTTTTTTTTTGCCCTACACGAGCACGGGAGCACGTGCTCATGAGCAGGAGCACATGCACCCGACGGCAAACGGACATACGGACATGGCAAGCCCCTAAGGAGCTTCGCCCCTAAAAAGATGTTATTACTATTATACCGCGATCTGGGCCACGTAAGTTTACCGCACTCAGGGGCATAGCAAAAGTGAAAAGCCTATGGAAATATGAGAAATATCAGTTTATGTTTTGACTGTACTCACCCTCACTGCTCGGGTCCTTCTGTTCGCAATCCACTTGGCGACTTGGCAGATATGCAGCAGCAAGGCGCTGCTTGTATTGTAGTTCCTTTTTCTTCGACATGAACTCTTCAGCAGCCCACAAGCAAAGCGAGGCACGAACACACAAACACCAGACCACTCTGGAGCAGAAACTAAACAAAACGCAGGCAGACAAAAGACTGATGGACCCGACACATCATCACACTCATCCTTGTTCTGGTCCCTCCTCATAAACACCTCGTGTTGCACGATTCGTAAACGCAGTTGGTGGACTTGCCTTGGCTTGTGTTGACTTGACTTGGCTTCAATTGGCCAGTGCCCGCATTCCCGCATTTTCGCTGCATTTTTGCGCCATGCTATTCGGGCATGTGTTCTACAAACACAAAAGCAATAAAAAGTTATTTTTATGTTTTCTATTCCCCCTTCATGTGGCCGAATACAGTCGCCGACCGATTTTTCGGTCGGCGACTGCCAGGACCGAAAAGACGTCCGAATAATAGAGCAGTCCGAAAAATCCGCAGATTAAAAAACTTGCCTTGATTACGCCTAAGCGGGCTTAAAAAAGCTGTAAATAGTGCCTTGCTTCAGGTTACGCCTGCGCACCTTGTTTCAGGTGATGCCTCCGTTTGTGTTCGGCAACTTTCTGTTAGCTTGAGAATCGCTGCCTTCTTTTCTGGCGTTAAGGTGGAGTACTCTCTGCGCTTCTTAGCGACACATCGCAGCGGCGGAAGAACAGATGCGGCTACGACGTCCAAGCCAGCTTAGTCCGAAAACACGATTCATTGAGACGAGATCGAGATGAGAGGTGCAAGTCCATGACTGCAATGGTGAATGAACAAAGCAAAATGGAAAAAACAGTGAGGATGATGATAATGATGCGCAGCTGGAGAAAAAAAAAAAAAGCCGTACAGCGTCGCCTAGCAGTAGGACTCAGGAGTACTTAAGTAGCGCTGCCAAACCAAGCCGATTCATGTGCCACCAACATAGAATTCAAAATGGCCGCTTCTCAGTGGTGTTTCCCGCTGATCGCTCGCGACGATATTGTCAGAAAAATCAAACTTTCGGACTTCAAGCTGTCCGAAACATCAGTCCTGAGTATGCACTATTTCTATCGGGTAGGTCACGGTTCCTCCTTTAGATCCGAAATATCGAAGAAGTCCGAATTATCGACGTCTGAAAAATCGGTTGGCGACTGTAGCTAATAAATTCTCTCCCACATCCCCCTTCTGTTCCCACCCGATCTCCTGCACCGAGCCAGACGGATGGATTTCTCGGGATGAGGACGATTCGTCACATGCGCACTCGTCACAGGACGATTGGTCACGGGACGACTGGTTAGAAAAACTAATCTTAAAATCAGGACCAACTTTTAAGCAGGACCTGGTCCGGCTTAAAATACTCCACGTAAAAAGAGTCTTGGCACTCATTTGGTTTTCCTTTCATCATATGATGAGTCTTCAGCAAGTTGATCTCAGTTGGGTCCCCCCTGTGCATGCTGCCTTGAACGAGCAATAATCCGACTTGCAGCCAAATCAATTGTTACTGTTGCCTTGCATACACCTCTTCTGCTACAAGTCCAGTAACTAATCAGTATTCTTTTTGCCTCATGTGTACCCCTCATGAAGCAGCATAGCTCCACCTCTCTCTGTTGCGATCACCTCTATCCTTATGAAGGCAGTTCAAAAATAGTTGCTCTTATATGGCCTCCGCATTCACAGTTTGGGATGGAACCAAAAGCTAAAACATCTGTTACAAATTCTTTGCCCTTGAGAAGCGAAAGACATACTAAGATATGAGGCAAACCACTTTGTCCGCCCGAACCAAATGGAACAATACTTTTTTGGTTGCCCGCGTGACGAATCTTCCTGTGTGACGAATTGTCTTGTGACCAATCGTCCTGTGATGCATGTGGCGAATGGACCGTATCCTGGATTTCTCCAGGCTCGCACGCCTTGTGGCTGAACTCAATTCCGAATATAACGCAAAGTCCCTTTTGGATCTTCCTCATGTCTAATCCCTTTTGGAGCGTGGAATTTTGAAAAAAAGTTGCGTTATATTTCTGCAAATACGGGAGCTACCCTGTCTGTCTTTAAGAGACGGCGTTTCCTAGTGCCGTTCAGGCGTAACCAACTTGGCACAAAATTCCGAAATCTGGTTTTGAAAACTTTGAACTTGAAAAGCCTCACTTGTCGATTGAGCAGATCCAAGTGTGTGTGGTACCACCTGCGAGTCAACGAGACGGGCCGTTTTTCACCCTGTAAGTAAAGAGAAAAGATAGGCTTACATTTTTTTTTTCCCAAAACTGACACGTGAAATTGAGGATGAGAAATGCACCACCGAGAGACACCCTCGTGAAAAGTTTAAATGCTAATTCGGTGGTGTATTTATTAAACCTTTTTTGATTCCCGAAGACCGCTCGGAGACACACCATACTTTTAAAGCGGTCGAGAACTTGCCTGGAAACCCTTAATCGCCAGGAAAAGCTCCTAGGGAAGCTTTTCGTCCAGCTGCGGCGTCCTCTTACTTGCCACTTTGCAAGAACGCCGTCCTTGCAAATTGTTCCCATTGATGGGTCTACTCAGTGCTTTGGGGGTGATGGGTCTGGACAGCCCGTCTTTTATCTTTTCCAGTTGGAGGAATTGCCGAAGCAGACAGGTGAGTGTCTCGTAACTGCCGATGCTTCTTTGCGGACCCTCGCATTTACGTTTGGGGATTGGGTAGCCTCGCAAGATGCAAATTTGAGGAAGGTGCCACCACTCTCCGAAGACGACCAATATTTATTCATCTTGGTTAATAACTCAACTTCGGCGTGTCGTCAAGTTTAATCTGAAAAGTGGTCGCGGTATTCAATTCTTACACGTACCTTGGAAATACTAGCCATGTGCTTGTAGTAATTTTTTTGTGGGGACAATTTTTTTTCTTGTCCCCACAAACAATGTCGGGCGATTTCTAGTTATTCTGGGAACTATATGATTTCTCGAAAAAATGCCGGCGTGTATTAGATAGCTGGGTGCACGGTGCAAAGGTCCCCGGTGTGCGTGAGAGGTCTACTTTTTTAATAAAAAACATGGCGGGAACCGCGAACCGGCTTGCACTATCGTGGTGGAGTTGGCGACTTCTAGATATTGTGACTAGTCAACAACTGAGTCACATCTTGCGCACCATCTATATTCCGAAAAGGTAGAAACAGATCGGGGTCCATGCGCTCTTAAAAGGGTACTCTGGATGTTTTTTTCTACATACCCAAACGAATGCATTTTCTGAATACCCGGACTTTTGTCTTCGCAGTATGCTATTTATATTTTCTCGAAATTCAAAATAGCTATTGAGAAAACTTTAAATGAAGATGATGCCGAAACTAATAATAAAATTTCTGCCCGTGCTCTGTTGGTGTGGCGTCACAAATGGTACAGACTTTCAGGTCGTGCAGGTAGCTTTACATGGAGCATGACGAGCATTTTTTCGACCATCTTGGAGAATGAGCTTCTAAGCATTCATTTCCCACCATTAAACATCTTGTAATCGGTTGGGAACGTGGTGTACTGCCCACTTTGTACCATTTCTGTCGTCACACTTCAGTGTTGGCAGTAGGGGCTCTCGGTTTGAGAAACACGATGAGAAGGAAATTAGAAAGTTCAATAACTTTGCGAATTTCTTTTTTTCGCGCAATACTTGGGGGATTGGTACAGCCGTGTCCGATTTTGAGGCAGATCGGCAACCATAAAAAAATTGCTGGAGTTCCCTTCTAAGGTTTGTAGTTATAGCGATTTCCTTTCACACGCACTGGCACCGTTTGAGTTCTCTTCCAGAATGCATCGCACTCGCAGTGTCGCACGGAGAACTGGCCTCAAACGAACTTGCCAAATGCACAGAGTGCAGAAGACTGATGCTGTCGCCATCTATGTTGTAGAAAGAGTACCGATCTCAAACCGAAACTAGCACCTTTCTGTTCGACGGGATGGAAATGCGAGAGTGCAGTCGCTACCAACGTTTATCCATAAACATTGGTCGCTGCAACGTGTTGTTTTTATTTGCCATGACTTCAAACAACTCGGCTGTCATAGAGATATTTACAGACGGCATAAATTTCCGCAACCAGCTGACTCCAAAGCAGCTGGGGTTTACACTGGAGAAAACTGATGATGCTGTCCGCACAAAAGCTTGACCTGTTTGAGCATGGTATTATGTGTTAACCACTGAAATGTTGCGGCTTAAAACTAGTCTGTTAGAACTGCCAGCAAAAATGTTTAGTGGGACTTTCGATTTCGATTGTAGTTACAAGTGGATCAGATTTTCGTTGAGAACGAGAGCTTTTTTAAACAAAATACGACGGAGCAAGATAGCTGACGTAGGTAAATGTTAAACATAATGATGTTACCCAAGCTATGGTGCCTCGATCGCGTCTTCGACTGGTGTGTTTAGCGTCCTATCCCGCCCATACATCAAAAGTGGTCCCAATGTGGCAACAAATGACGCGAGTGTCATGCTGTTGCCTGTCGCGATCCTGGCGGTTGGCCGTAGAAATGCTGGCGAAAAGCACGAGCGAACGCGAGTGTCGCTGTCGTCACAGCGTCGCTTTAGGCGTCCCAACTTCCGGCTGCTCTAGCTTCCGTGAACTGTCATAGTGGAAAGCGACCTGCTGCAGTACAGGCGTCTGCCACTTTTACCACAACTGTTGGAACGCCGCCAGAGTCACGACCGGCAACAGCATGACACTTCTATGACGTCATCAGGCTGAAATCGAGGGACCACTTTTTTGGCCGCGGTAAACACACCAGTCGGAGACGCGTTCCAGGCACCATACCCAAGCCATGAGTAAAGTCACTAAGTTAAGCTTTCTCACATGCTTATTGGGCAGTCACAGGTTTCTGCTGGGGTAGCTTTGTCGACAAATGTCCAATTTTTCACCCGCACACGGATGGGGCTAAAAGATATTGGGGGCCGCTGATGCGTTTGTTCTGAGCATTTCTTTACACACCGGTATATTTCAGCGTCTGTACAGCAACAAGGCGACTAAAAGCAAATAAAGTATGGGTTGTCATTTGTTTTTTTCATGAAATAGCAGACGCTCACAATTCAAGCGCGTGTTTGATTCTGTTGCCTGCGGGACACGATTTCTATCAGAATATCAACTTTTTTTCTTTTCGGTTCCGCTGTATGAACGACACATTCTAGCAGACATACCCTTGTCGTCTGCTCCTGCTCCTTGCCGGAGTAAGGCATGCCGGGATCGCATTTTGGCGCACGCTCGATTTTCTTGGTGCAGTGAGTGCACGCACACGGGGGGCGCCGCCGCTGAAACAAACTCGGAGGGTGCAACCACTCGTGGAGTACCGCCCGAAACGAACCCACTCAACGCTGCGAGTGGGCACGCGTGGGCACAAGTGCCGTGAAACAAACTCGCTATTAGACAAAAGAGATGCCTATTATAAGTTACAACCGTTTAATAACGCGCCTAGGAAAATTATAGGAAAAAAAATGTGACTCATACATCCGAAAATAGGGTACCCTAATACAGTAAACTTTCATTAGTTCGGCCTCGGTTAATTTCACTTTTCTTTTAGTTTGATCGTGTTCAAAAGTCCCGGCGAGCACCCATACATTTCTATGGGAGGAAGAATTTGATAATTTGAACTCGGGAAGACTCCGCATTGAATAATTTGTCCTGAGCGAATGCACGCGGGCTCACATTGCATGGCACCACGGCAGAAAAACCACCAACATACGGCGAAACACGGGCCCTCTGCTGCAAAGCCAGAGGTGCGCAAATATGTGCCCGCTCCTCTACGCCGTTGAGATGGACCGTAGCGAATGACATGAGCCAGCGCAACCAATCTGGCGTGGAGTAGCGCGGAGAACATAGCACTTGGTCGGGCGTGGAGACAGCACGCCTTGAAAGCGCTTTTCTGTAGCACCGTGTGCGGTCCATCTTGTGCGCTGAAAAGCGCAAGTTTTATCTTCCTTTTTTATTGTTGTTGTTACTTTTTTTTTGTTGTTGACGATCTGGCTTCCTGGCACCAAAGTCGGCTCGTAAAGCATTCATTTTTTTTTTTTTTTTTGTAGTGCGCAATCTTTTGGGGGTTGTGATATTTTGTTACGCTGCTCTCCGGAGCATGCTTTTGGACACGCATTTTAAGCGCAGACGGCAGCAGACAATCCGTGGGTATTTTGAACAATGAAAGGAGGTTTAATTATATCCGTTTTTCTGTCCTTTTTTGAATTCAATCATTCGAATAATTGGACCGAATTTTAAGGTTCTGTTCAGGTAGAATTAACGAAAGTTTACTGTAATATAATATAATTAAGAACAGCAAACACGAAGTTCCTATTTTTATTTTTTTTTTTCATCTTATTTTTTATTTATTGTATATACGCATGTAATGGCCGCAAGTATCTTTTTAATGATTTCGGTTTGAGAACTAGGGGTGCGGCCTTTACAGGGAGGAAAACTAAAAATCTTTCTGGAATTTTTTTTTTTTCTGCCAAGAGTTTTACTATTTGCTTCATGAAATGGAAGTACTCGCACGTCTTAATAGAACAAGAAAACATTTATCGGTATTTGCATAGACAGGCAAGCAAAGTCCTTCTCACTTGTTTGTCGTAGAGCACTCCCCTTCTCTGTCCCAGATATATTCTGTGCCATCCAGCTTGTTGGAAATTCTAGTTACTTTGAAGCTTTTTTCTACGGTATCGAAGGAAACCGCACCTTGCGCTCTACAAGGGATGTCCAGTTCAGCCCAGTCGGCGTTTTCTCGTGCACAGTTGTTGCCATCCACTTGGTGTATGTGCGGCAAAATCCGGATTGGAAGGGCTTGTTCACTGAAACATCTAGTGGCTGAAGCATGCCGCTCATACCTCCAGGTACGATGGCCAAATCTGTTTTAGACACACCCCCAGTCAAGTGTCCCCAAAAGCTATCCAAGATGAGCAGCAATTGCGTGCCGGGGTTCGCACCTGGTTGCTTTTCCCAAACGCAGGTCAACCAGTCTTTCACCAGTTCATCCGTCATCCATCCCTTCTCTTGTGCTCTAACAAATATGCCGTTAGGAAAGGGGTACACATTTTCTTTTAAAAGGATGCCAGGTGCAAGTTTGCGCCCGTCCGCCTTGATACAAAGCATGACCGTACATCGCTGTCTCTCGGCACCCGTTGTGAGGATATGGACGCTCTTGGTACCTTTTGCCTCTACTGTCGCGTTTTCTGGTGCGTCAAACCATATGGTATGTAGCCATGATCTGCCATGGCATTACCTACAGCATTTGTTGATAGACGGTTTCATTTGTCAATATATTTCACAAAGAAGGAGTTTCTACCCATGTTAAGGTGGTACGAATAATTAATTTGTTGAACTAATATCAATATTTGAATGAAAACGGGACATCCTTTGCAAGATTTCTGCAGAAGCTGTTACATTAGTGACCGAGTGACAAAGTAAAAGTGCATGTTTAAACACTCAAAATGTTGAATGTGGGGCCCTAAAGTTTGGGAAATAGTCTTGTTAAAAGTTCCCACTAAATGAGACAATACTAAATGAATGAGGAAGGCTTCCTTCTAGCGTTATTTCTCCTTTCATATTGGTCACATCAGCTTCTAAGCCTGGACTCGTCTTCATCTCTGCTTTTCACCCTGTTATTCAGATTTGCATTCTCTGTTTCAGGACGGCACTCAGCATACCTCCTTCTGGTAAGTGCGGGATTTTGGCCCAACCATCCGAGGAGCACAAAGCTCTGTAGTGAAGCTAGTTTTTATCAAAAACAAAATATGTAATGCCGCGCGCTTGGCCGACCGAGCAAAGCTCAGTCACAAACCTCTAGAAGATTCGAGTTTCTTCTCACTCGGGACGCAACTTTTATTGTTTCGCTCTACTTGCTCTTGAAAGTGCCTGTTCATTCTCACCATGAACGCTGGACGCTCAAACCTTGTGGGCCGAATTTTCGAGATGCCGACTCGCACTAGATAGGGAGCTTCGCGTGACCTTGTTGGGTCAGTCTTGCTCTTACACTGCCGAATTGCAGCCTGCGTTTCTGCTGTCTCGACGCTTGTTCTTTATTTTGTTTGGCACAAGTTCGCCCCCATTAAACTTAGAAATAAAAAAAAAATAAAAAATGCCTTGCTCTTACACATTAAAGGGACACTGACAGTGTATTTATGCTCGCCGAGGTTTTTATTTTAACGTGACATGAGAGCCCAAATACCCAAAACACAATTTGCGATTCAAAATATTTTTAAGAGAATTATAAGTTCCGAGGTGTAGGGCCCTCTTTAATAGGACACTGACACCCCCCAAGAAATTTTTAAAATTTTTTTCTAAGTGATTCATATGGTATCAGAGGACTACCCAACCAATATTTTGCTACAGCATGACATATTTTCAATGAAACAAAAAAAAAATGCAACTGCTTGAAACTGAAATTGCATTGGGGAGGAAGAAGAAATGTAGAGGACGAGAGAGAGCTTGGAAGTAACGTGGGCAACAACCAACCAGGGTTGTTTTTTTTTCTTCGTTCTTTTGGCAGTGCAAAGGAAACAAAAAATGTGCACGTCGCATGATTAATGCAAAAGTGAAGGACTTGGTGCTTGACGTCTGCACGTGTTTCAAGCTGTTCCCAATTGGTGTTTGTAAGACGACCAATCTCTTGGGCCAGGAGAAGTGGCGACGTAGTCTTTGTGCGAATCAGCTCGATGGTTGGGCGTGTCGAACGGAATAAATCCCACATGTTTTGATTGGTAAACACTTTCTCTTTTGAAGCTAGACAGATTCGCCGATACCGCAGCAACATTTCTGAAGTAGAGGTCGCACTCCGTCATCTTCCGCCATTGCTTAATCCACTTCGTCCAGCCCACGACTCTCGCGATACGATGCCATGTTGAGGATTGCGTAGGAAATGCACAAATTGCTTCCAATCCTCAGTGCAACTTTTTCTTTTTTTTTTTTTTTCAATCAGCATATCTGCAGCTTGTTAGAAGCCACAAAAAATGTTTATCATATTTTTTTCTATCTTTAATACGGATTGTGTGTGCTTTCGATGACCCACAACTTTGGTTATATTTGGTGAGTGTGTCTAAACCATAGAGAAAGGCACGACCACATAGAAGAGAGAGCCCGACTCAGACTGGCCAGTTCTCGAGCGGCGCTTTTCGCGCAGAAAGAAAACAAATTTCGAGCCTCAAATTGTGTTCTGGGCAGTTGGGCTCTCGCATGTCATGTACAAATAAAAACCTTGGCGAGCATAATTACCCTGTTAGTGTCCTCTTAAAGGGTAACTGAAAAAAAAAAAAAAAAGGTATTTTTAAACAGCCTAGTTGGGACAAGCATGTTACGAAACAATTTTTCCAACAGAAACAAAATTTTTTACAGCAATATTTATTGCGCGGGACTAATTTTAGTCTGCGGTATTTCGTTTGTTTTAAGTTGCGCGCCACGAATTTGGTATTATACGTCACGGATTGGCTGCTATACGTCACAGAGTAACGTACAACAGCCACTTCGCGTGCATTGAAAGAGCGGGAGTTTCAAATGTGAAGAGGTTGTGACTCCGACTAAATTATGTCCTGTGGTGTCAATATTGCTAAAAAAACATTTTTTTTTTCGCGGAAGATTTGTTTTGTGACATTCTTGTCCCAATTAGGCTGTCTAAAAAACTTTATTTTCTTTGCAGTTACCTTGCATGAAAATAAAGGGGGCAAATTATTCTTGAAATGGAATGCTCATAGGCTACTTAGTGTATACACCAAGTTTTGCGATTTTTACGGGTCTAGTATAGTCAATTTACGAATTTTGTTAATTTTTATCTGGCGACCAGGCAACGCTGCCCAACTTAGTCAGACCATGGTGTCCATAAACCACGGGATCATGAATGCTCATTGTAGACGCCCTCATGGTCGCTTAAGCTCGCACAGCTCGGCAACCCCGATGCTATTCTGGCCCTTGGACCTTCTACTCGGCATGCACCTGCGAGGTTGCCACAGACGACGGCACCCACGGCGAGTTCGTCCGTAACTCGCTGTCGCTAGATCTGGTCGCCAGCGGGTCGCGTTCGAAATGAACAGCTTCCAACATCTCTCGATAACAATCACTCTCGTCGCTGCTGCGATCAGTGTCGAAGACTTGGACGAAGCGAGCGATGCCGTAGACGGAATCGTCACGGACCGCATGCTCGAAACATGCAAGTTAAATGAGGGAGCTGAAGCTCAAGATGCCAAAAGAGCCAAATCCAAAATAAGGTTGAGAGCTGGGCTATTTAGTAGTTGTTAAACGTAATGAGATCAAACGGCGCAAAAAAGCCACAAAAGGAAGCAACAAACCGGACAGGATGGAGCGCTGTTCTTCTCTCGTGTTTTATTTTTGGCGTGTCCTAACCTCTTTAAGGCTTCATTCCTGACTGACAGAAGCGTTGGAAGCTGTCCAGCCGATTTCGGTTGCATGCTTTACAGAGAGCTCCGAAGCGCATAGGCCAACTTAGAGCCACGAAAAGCGGAGTCATAAACCTTTCAAGTGCACCTTTCTATAGACCTTTGCAAAAAGAGCTGTCTGGCCGCCGCCATTTTGTGATTCGAGCGACCCCTATCGGCCAGAAATTCGAGCCACCCGCCTGAGCTGTGGGAATCCGGTCAGCGTGACTCCCCACCTGCATTGTGCATTTGGAGTTTGCCGGCTTTTCTTGGAAGCTTTTACTTTATTTACCTGTTCAGGATGCTTACCCTTTTTGTGCTATCTTGCACTGTGAGGTAATACCAAAGCTCGTAGCCTGCTTGGCCTTTGCAGGAAACGAATGTTGAGAGCGAATGTCATGCAGCCAGTGATGCGGGCCGTTCGACGTTCTTCGGGAATTATTCCCGTCAAGGAAATCTCCAAAAAGCCTTCCTGGCTATGTGCCCGATCTTCGCGAAAAATACCTGATAAGGTCGGGTCCGGGGTATGGGCAGGGAATAGACACGTTCGTTCATTTGCTTTGAAGCTGTGCAAAAAAAATAGAAAAAGCAGCCGTCTTTAAAACGCACCTTAAAACAAGCCAAACTCTATCCGATTGTCGTGAAGTGACTGTCATTGACACTGTATGTTGGATACGTTGTGTTATTTGAGACCTTTCTCAAATCCTGTTCAGATAATGCGGCCCTGTGGGGTATATATGTTGTGTGATTGATGAGACTCGTTGAATTTCACGTTGTCAGCGGGGATTAGCCATGCATTTCGGGTGTCCTGAGTGGTCACAGATTTTCGACAGTTAAGACCTTTATAGATTGACACGGGTGAGGTATGGTGCTGTAAAAAAATCAACATAAAATAAAACATTCAAGTTGCATTTGTTCCGGCGCCCACGGACTCGCCGAAAATAAATTTTATTTGCTTGTTTTTGTTCCCAAAAATAGTATGATGCTTTTTTTAAAAACCAGGAGGAATTCTATTCGCAATTGAACGCAAAAGAAAAATAAAACTCTCAAATTTAGCCATCGCCAGTGTTGGCAATTGCACCTACGCAGGCTGCCACAGCCCACTGATGAGAAACCCCACAGCCCAGCACAGTCTGGCAACACTGACATTCGTTTTAAAAACCAGGGACGCGCGCTGTAAATTGCTTCGCTCAAGACTGCCGCTAAAAATCTCTAAATAGGCCCAAACCCTGCGAATGTGGGCGCGAAAAAATTTTGCAAATGTTCCCGTCAAACGTATGAAGAATCACAACCTCGGTGATAACCAGAAGTTGTAGTAAATTGACCGGGCTTTTTCCTGCAGTTGGAGGCGACGAGGGAGCCTTGCGGCCGTCGTAAGCATTCTCACTTCTCTCCAAATCTCCTTGGCAGCTCGTTTCCCGAGGGCATCTGTATTGGGATTTGGGTAGTCAATAACCAGGTAGTTGTCCTTTGAGAAAAGGGGCCATTCATTGTTTGCATTAGGATTTCTCTAAAAACCCTAGAAAACTTAGTCAATGCTGATGCAGCGAGCTTTATCATACAATTTTCTTTTTAGGTGCAAGCTACAGTGGGAACACCTACGTGTAACGGCGCTCTATTTTGTTTTTAAATTAGTCGTGCCGAACAGTTTTTCCCCCTAGCGTGAATTGTTAAAAAATGGCGGAGGCTAGGGGGGAAAAAAAGTCACATTTATGGCATAACGATAATGCTGGTTATGTGCCTTTCTTGGCACATAACCAGCGACCTTTCTACCTTGGACGATGCTCTTATGCTCTTAGAGCAAGAGTGCGCACACGAAGCGTGGAGTGCGTGCTGGAGGCGTCGCAAAGATGCGCTTTGCCGTTCGTCAGCGACCAAGCGAACTTACCACGCAACCTTGAATTAGAGAATCGCTACTAGCGAATTCCCGAGGTTTACCGTTTCTCGTTTTATGTTTCGGTACGTTGTATTTATACCAGGAAAGGGAACTTTAAAAAAACGGTTTCAAAAATACTCCCGCGAACGTAGAATACCGTACGTTCGCAGCTGTCGCACAACGCTGTGACAACGCGTCTCGTGGCGCAATAAACTTTTTCGCAAGCTCCTTCGCTAAATTTTGCGGGAAAAGGATTCGAGCCGAGTTGGGTGACATTAAGTCTGTTAGGGCCGTTACCCGGCTGATTTCGGGTGAGGTCGGACGTAGGGTGGCCGGTTGACCTTTTTCGTCTGCTTCATAATTTAAGTTATTTCCCAGTGCGTGAGATAAACAAAATTGTAATCATTTTTCCCTGGAAAAACATTTGGACGTAAAATATCGTAGATCACAAAGAGGCAGAAAGTCAAATGACAGAACATTCCGAGTGAGTTTCATAATTTTTTGACGCTCTCTACGTATACCTAGTAATAAGAAAAAAAATGGCATTATTGTATATTATGTTTGAAACGAGATGATAAACAAACATCCATTTCGGCTACTTATTGTTATCTCCCTAACTTTGCAGGCCCGTATTTAGAAAACTGTTGTGTTGTAAATTTGATATTTTTATGCAGTATTTTACTTATAAATAAAAGTAACTCGATGCAAAACTAAAATTTATTTATAATAGGTTTGTTGAGATATTGACGAGCAAGCACGAGAAAAGCAACACACTAAAAAAAAAAACTTGCAAAAAAAATATTTTTTTTAAACTCTGGTTAGGCTGTATATCTATTTGGAGGTAATATCCATTAGAAACACGTTGCATCAAACTGACGGTGTAATATATACGACCCTTCCACCAACACCCTTCTCCGAGGCTCGGGCTGCCCTCTTGGTGCGATGACTTGTTATTTTGTGGAAGAAGCCCATTTTTTATTTCGTTCTCCGAGCTTAGCTCGCAGGTCAAAGCTTCCGACGAACGTGCCACGACCGAGTGGTTTAACAACCAAGATCTAAGCTGTCGATCCCTTAGCCAATGAGAAGAGTTGCTATCGCACGTCACTTCATGACGTTGGTATTATACGCCACTCCGTGATGTATAATACCAAGTTTGTGGCGCTCAATTTAAAACCGACGAAATAGCCACAACCTGAAATAAGTCTCTCGAAATAAATATTGCTGTAAAAATTGTTTTTTCGTGGAAAAATTGTTTTTTGTCTAAATTGTCCCAACTAGGCTGTTTAAAAAAAACTTTTTTTCTTTGCAGTTATCCTTTAACAAACCGTTCATAAATAAGTTTTATTTTTGCTTCAATTTAGTTTTATTTATGAGTAAAATATTGTGTCAAAATATCATGTTTTTGACCCAAGATACAGGCTTGCAAAGTTGGGCGGAAAATGATCAAGTAGCCAAAATTTATGTTTATAAGTTCCTTTTGAAACATAAACAATAACATTAGTTTTTTTTAGTACATTGATTGTATCAAAATATGAAGAGACTCACTTAGAATGTATGACTTGCGTTATTTATTACCAAAGGTGACCATCCTGGCTGCGCACTCAAATGCGACTTTCCACCTCTTGGCAACCTACTATTTTTTTGCGTCCGATAATTATTTTTTGTGGGTGACAACAATTATGATTTTGTTTATATCTGGCACTGGGAAATAGCATAAAATTCTGAAGCACATTAAAAAGGTTGACCAGCCACCATTTGTTTACTCCTATATGAAATTACCCACCCCTCTTCTCAGACCCAAGGTAAAAAAACACATTCTGTGTGTAAACAAAGAGATTTCAAGCTGGCGGCAGTCTGCACGAGCTAGCTGACGGCAGTGGAGGCTGGGTGATGCAGCCTGCAGTGGCGTGGGAGGAGGCTTATGTCTTTTGAAATCCAGCCGACCCTATAATATACAGATGCATTTTGTTCCTACAGGTCATAGGCACTTGGGGTGCGGTTACCCACAATGGGGTGGCATATAAAGGTCGCGGTTGGCGATTGTCATTAGACACTCAACAGCTGTAGTTGCTCTAGACGACATTCTTAAAGTAAAAGTGAGGATAATCCGAAACAGGAGTTTCTCACGCTTGGTTCCTGTGGCGGGTGTCGCTTATTTTTCTAAAGAATTTGGCTGTCGCAGCCCCCAAGGGTGCCCGTCCATATTTTCCTCTTTTAACTCTACTTTTGTTTGGAACTTATTCGCTATCTTACGTTAGACACGTTCAAACTTCGCTAAAGCAACCTTGCAGTGAAACGGTCGGAACGTTTTAGCAATTAATCGAGATGTTCTCTGTTTGGCATTAATGTTGGACATGATAGCAGGTCGTAAATCTAATTGCAATGGGGATTAATACGGAGGATTTTGGAATTTTCAGTGTTGGCCAGTTGCTGGACTTGCCGGAGGAACTGCTTATTCCGGAAGAGCTACCGCAGGAAGCTCCTGGCAAGTGTTCTCCTTGCACGTAACAAGTTTGGACTTTGTGACAGCCACCAAATTGTCTGACCTTCTTTAATTGTCGGGACGGTAATGGCGGGGAAAAGCATGGGCTGGCTCCAGCACGAGCACCTTGGATGGCACTTGGGCGCCTGGCGAGCGTGCATGCGCAGCCAAAGTGAGGCGGAAGGCAGGCAGCTCCCGCTGGAGGCATTCCAAAGAGACGCCCTGCAGTTATCACCCTGTCGAACTGCGTCGGTTAGAAATTGGCTGAAAATAATCCCTGTTGGCGGTATGTGCAAACTACAGGGGGGGTGCTTCTCTAGATGTCGTTGGTGACGTAGCGGATGGCAGGGACCGAGCAGACGGCGCAGATTCCTCCGCTCGTATTTACATCCTGTTTCGCCTTGCCATTTAGAGTTTTGAAATGGGAAGCTCCGTGTGCAGGATACTATACTGGAGAGATTGTCACTTGGCACGTCGGTTGTTCTCGCGGTAGCGAGTGACAGTTCGAGTGCTGGCTCTTCTTGTTAAATAAAAACAGAAAGAATAAACATTGGGACGGACAGAACAGCACCTCTTTCAGTGGTGGAGGTGCTGTTCTGTCCGTCCCTATGTTTATTCTTTCTGTTTTTATTTAACTTTACCAACGCGCTCACGTCGAACTAACTATTCTTGTTCCGACTTTTAATGCATCTCCAAATTTAATTTAGGTATCTGACGGCGAGACTCTGTTTGAGGGCAGCTCCGCTCAATTCCAAAAATTATAGGATAATGAGTGATTTCACGGTAAACAGCACTAATAAAAAGCACTTAGCACGTCAACGGCGAATAAGTTGGTCGGTGAGACGATCGCTGAATTCTGACATTGTCGCGCAGAAACTACCACGCACAAAAGCGTACTTTCCATATAGCGGCACTGCCGTCGGAGGCTGATGCCGTCGTGATATGTCCATGGAAGCTTCATGAGCAACAACCGGGTGGTTTTTGGTTATCGTTGAATGCATTTCAAAGTATGTTTTCTTGTGTTTTTCAACGAAATATTGATGTTTCTGAGGAAATGAGCTCCAGAATTTCGTTTCCATACTCCTTTAAGTTGCTCCAATTGCGAGTCTGAGACTGCCGAAATGCTGCGGAAGTGGACACCAAAAAATAAAACCGAATGAAAGAAAGGCGACAAGTTTTCTCCCTCGGTATTTCCATTCTATATAGCCTGGACAGCTCGCAAGCACTTTATCTACTCCTCTTACATAATTAAAAATAACTCTGTCCGTTGACTCTTTGTTTGCTCTATCTCTTTGGAAGAAACCTTGACCATTAAAGCGCCTCTTTTGGAAAACCAAAAAAAATCCAACCGTAAAATAAATGTTTGCTGTAGAATAAGTAGGATTTTTTTCCCTTTTGTTTCGCCGACATGCAATGTGGAGAAGTAGACAGTCGTGTAAATGAGGTGCATTCGTGGCCGGCACATCCTTTCTCTTCTTAAACAGAGCTTGAGGTTTACGGCTTTCTGATGGCACTTGTGCCTGTCGTTCCAGAGTGGGAGGAACAGCTCGCTGCCCAGGAAGTGTCTGCCGGGGAAGAGGTCAGGTGAGTTGAGTCAGTCGTCGGTGCTTCTGGAGGCACACGCTAGCACGACCGCACATCTTAAAAAAATGTACGGCGAATTGCTTGGCAATTCTGTTGGATGCATGGGACATTCTGGCATCACAAACGTTTAGCGATAGCCTCAGCTCGTGGCTGCACCGATATGCACTCGGCGATACGTAACGTACCGTCCAAGTTTGGCGGGGAAGCTGAATTGGTGAATAGGTGAAGTTGGCGTTATGTGGCGTCAGGTCACGTGAAGTCAATTTCCCATGCTAAATTTAGCGGGGAAACTGAATGGATGTGTAGGTCAAGTGACGTCATTTTTCCCGCCAAATGTAGCAGGGAAACTGAATTGGTGCTGAGGTCACGTGGCGTCAATTTTCCCACTAAATGTAGCGGGGAAACTGAATTTGTGTATTGTGCATTAGAGTTTCTGCATAGGCTTGTAGAGGCTTGCAGCGAGAACATCGTCTTCCCTGCAACACGCTCCCCCGAGCCGCGGAGGAGGCTGGCACGCACCGGGGATACCCGACACCAGCTCGGGGGGCCCGGATGCGGGGCCAGACGGCCAGACCTCCGTGAGGGTAGACTAAACAACTCGAGTCACCCCCACGGCAAGAGAGAAGAGAAGAAAGGCCTTACAAGCAGCGCCCGGTCAAAACGCAAGAACATTCCTCGTACTTGTAATGTCGTCATTCTTGTGTAGTCCCTCAGAAAAATAAAACAAATTCAGTAGAACATTAAATGTATCTAGATTGGTGACCCGAAAAAACGAAAAAGCCGACCTCAAGCGTTGCGATGAACCAAGAAGAAGAAAGTGCTTCTGCCAACTCCTCAGCCTCAGCGCCCCCTGCGGAAGGCGTCTGTCGTCGCCCTCAAGCTCCCACCCTACTGGCCTGCGGATCCCGAGCTGTGGTTTCTACAAGTGAAAGTGCAGTTTGCAACTCGGAAGATCACCGCTGATTGCACCAAATATCATCACATTGTGGCCAGCCTTCCCCCAGACATCGCCACCGAGGCACGCGACCTGCTCCTCCAACTACCAGTCACAGATGCCTACGCCACCCTCAAGCAGCAGCTGATCCGCTGCGCAACAGCTTCTGAGAAAAGGCGGTTACAACAACTCCTGATCACCGAGGAACTTGGTGACCACCGGCCTACCCAGTTCTTGCGCCGCATGCAGCAGCTGATAGGTGAGAAGACATCTACAATCGACGCTTCGTTCCTGCGGAACCTGTTCGTCCAGTGTCTGCCTCACAACGTGCGCATGATCTTGGTGTCCGTTGGAGACCTCGGAATTGAATAGCTGGCAGAGCTCGCCGACAAGGTAATGCAGATCTCGACTCCGGTTGTATCGGCCGTCCAAAGTCCTACCGACGAGATACAACAGCTCAAAGCGGAGATCTCCCGCTTAACGATCGCCTTCGCGACCCTGCAGCAACATCGCGGACGTAGCCAGTCGCGGTCCCAGCGGCGCCGCCCATCCTTTTCCCCAACACGACCCGACATTTGTTGGTACCATTGCCGCTTTGGCGATACTGCCACTAAGTGCACCACACCCTGCCACGGGAAACGGAACGGCGGAGCCCTAGAGGCGGCAAGTGCCTCGGTCACTCCGGACAGCCGCCAACGCCTCTTTTACGTCCCCGGTCGCGACACCGGGCTCCGCTTCCTCGTGAATACCGGTGCCGAGGTCAGCATACTAGCGGCGACACCTAAAGACAAGTGGATGTCCAGCACCTCACAGCTCCAAGCTGTAAACGGGACGCCAATTCCCACCTGCGGTGAGTGTTCGCTAACCTTGAATCTCGGTCTTCGACGGACCTTCCGCTGGGTGTTCGTTGTCACGGACGTGTAACATGCTATCATTGGTGCCGACTTCCTCCGACACTTCGGACTTTTGGTGGACATGGGACGAGGCGTCTCCTCGACACGATAACTAACCTCTTCGTGTCGGGCGTAACATCCGCAGTCCCTTCTCCAGCTCCAGCGCACATTATCCCTAACGCCCCAATACAATTCACAACCATCGTCCGCGAGTTCCTGGAGTTGACGCGCACTGGCAGTGACGAACGCCCTGTGCAGCACAGCGTTTCTCACCATATTGAAACCACCGGAGCACCCGTTCATGCTCGACCGCGTCATCTCGCCCCTGAAATGCTGCAAATTGCTCAACAGGAATTCCAGCACATGCTTGAATTGGGCATCGTGCGACCATCATCAAGCTCATGGGCCTCACCACTGCACATGGTACAAAAGAAAACAGCCGGAGACTGGAGACCATGCGGCGACTACTGCGTATTAAACCGCGTCATGGCTCCCGACTGTTATCCAATCCCCCACCTTCAAGACATAACATCCAGCCTCGACGGAGCGTGCATCTCTTCAAAAATTGATTTAGTGTGCGCTTATCACCAAATCTCCGTCGCCCCGGACGACGTGCCAAAGACCGCGATTATCATGCTATTCGAACTATACGAATTCGTCCGGATGCCGTTTGGTCTTCGGAACGCAGCCCAAACCTTTCAGAGGTTTATTGACGAGGTACTCCGGGGACTAACCTTCAGCCGTGCCTATGTCGACGACCTCCTCATCGCAAGCTCCTCACCCGCCGAGCACGAACAACACCTCCAAGCTGTGTTCGAGCGTCTCAAGACCTACGGCATCATCATCAACACTGCCAAGTGTCAGTTCGGTGTAGGTGAGCTGGAGTTCTTGGGACACCACATTGACCACCAAGGCATCCATCCGTCCACTTCCCGCAAAGGTTGAGGTGATCTGGAACTTTTCTCGCCCGTCAACACGACGCCAGCTGTGGGAGTTCCTCGGAATTGTCAGTTTTTATTGGCGTTTTGTCCCCCACTGCGCAACAACCCTCCAACCGCTGCAAGAATTCCTCAAAAAGAGCCACAACGAGGCAACCGCTTTGACCTGGGATGATACAGCAGAGCGCATGTTCACCAAAATCAAGGCAGACATCGCCGACGCAGCCCTTTTGGTGTACCCCGAGGACAACGCTCCCCTGTGCGTCATGACGGATGCTTCGGACGCTGCGATTGGAGTGCTTCAGCAATGGCGAAACGACATCTGGAAGCCCATCTCCTTTTTCTCCAAGACACTGTCACCCACCGAGCGCAAATACAGCACCTTCGGACAAGAGCTTCTCGCCGCGTATCAGACGCCTTGCCACTTTCGCCATCTCTTAGAGCGAAGAAGCTTCTTCATTCTCACTGACCACCACAAGCCACTGACCTTCGCAATACGATCGCTGAAGTCGGATAGCCTAGCCCACACAACTCGTGAGCTTCACCAAATGTCGTACATCTCGGAGTTCATGAAAGACGTGCGACACGTGAGCGGCCGCGGTAACCCGGTGGTGGACGCCCTGTCACGCCTCTGCATCGGCGCCGCTGAACACCCAGTGCTGGACTTTGCTGCCCTTGCTGCTGCTCAGAAAACAGACACCGAGCTTGGCCAACTTCACACAGATACGCACGCGATGCAGCTGTGCAAGGTGCCACTGCCCATGTATGACGTAACTTTGTGGTGCGACATGTCGACGATATTCATATTTACAATATTATTGTAAATATGAATGTTTTTCGATTTGAGTCACTTGACGTCTCTGCATGAAAGTGTGTGTCCCATATTCGCAACGTCTCGTTTTAGGGGCGAAGCTCCTTAGGGTCTATCCTTGTCTGTCCGGCATCGGTGCTCACATCGATTGCCATCCCATCTGTCTTCTTAAAAAAAGAAAAAATGTTTGCACAGTCGACAAGATTCGAACCTGTGCGGGGAGACCCCAATGGATTTCTAGTCCATCGCCTTAAAGGGCCCATGAAACGAATTTTGGGCTGGAATAAATCAATTTATATTGGGATTTTACTAATAGCGCATCATTCAGTGGGCCAAAAGAACAAAGGTAGAAAGTCAGAAGCCTGACTTTTGGTACGAAAATTTTGAAAACACAGCGGACTATTTCGTACCTCCTTCCCTTCGTAAGCTCTCTGCCTTTTCACTGTGATACCCCGCAGCGCGTCACCGGGCACCCGCAGCACGTCATTGGGCCCAAATGCACGTGACACGGCACCGGACCTCAATTAATCCCTTCACCCCTAAGCTGACATTGTGATGGAAGCTACGCGCTTGCCGGACCAATCAGCCGCTTTCCTTTCATCACCTGACCTCATTTTCTGCGGGTCGGTGTGCGCGAGAAAGCGTGATCACGTGGCAAAAGTGTGGCCGGGCCCAACGAGCACGTAGCTTCCACAGCACTGTCAGCTTTGGGGTGAACAGGGTGGGGAAAGCAAGTTGTCTGAATTTTGAGCTACGGGCTAATCTTCTAGGGGGACAATGGCTGTGTCCGGGCTACACAAGCGATATTCCGAGCAAGAGGGGACTCCCTTCTTTCCGACTTCTTAAACTGTTTGGTACAATGCGCAATTTATGAGTTGAGGAGGAAAGCTAAACAGGAAAAAGTTAGAAAAGCGTTTCATGACTCCTTTAACCACTCGGCCACGACTGCGGGACGAGTAGGGGGCTCTGAGATGTGGTAGTAACTCAAGAGCTGGGGATGTCATGGATGGAACGTTGCATGTGGCCGCTCAACGTCTATACAGGAGAGGGCGTTGCGGTCAAATGCGTATATAATCGCGTTAAACTTTGCATGCATTGGCTCAATGTTTATAGACGAGAGAGCGCTGCGGTCAAACGCTCAACTGCGTATATAACCACGATTCATACCACATATTCTCTTTCTGACATGGACCGTTGACTTAAGCGGTGGAAATGCGTTCCCACGGCTTCTAGCGGATCCAAGCTGATCCGCTAGAAGAACCACTGGCTCTGCATTTCACCGTCCATAAAGCAATAATAATGAAGTCAAAACGCAACCCGGAACTCAGCACTATTTATGAGTAATAAAAAAAAACTCAGTGCCATCAGCACTATCTATGAACAATAAAATCAGTATCATCAGCACCACTAGAGCTTCGCCCCAATCAATGTTATTCACCACGTGGAGATGCGGTCATTTTTAACCTTTAAAATGCCAGTTTCTGGTGTTAGGACACACAAACGTTTCGGAAGATAGGGAGAGTTAGGAAAGTCGGATGTGCAACGTCGAGCATTATAGCTCTGTGTTTAGTTTAATACTAATTGAAAAAACAATATTATTTTGTTTTGCAACACAGTACTCCTGAGCCGAAAACAGAATTGTTATAATTGCGAGGAGTGCTTTAGAGTAATAGTTGGCCAATGTTTCAGAATGCACCGCATCATTTGTCACTTGCGCAGTGGACTGCGTAAATTACTGGTCAATCTTCTATTCTTGAGGCAGAAAATAGTGAAGAGGACCACACTCGCTCGCAAATGCACAGTTACCGTGTTGCCTACTCCACACCGCGCCATAACCACAGGTTGTACTGCACTGCACGATGGTAACCGCACAACTGCATGGCATCCATTAGCAATCCATGGCTCCGTCACGTTCTCGCACGTGCGCAGACATTCGCCGAATTTTCGCCGAATCTTTGCCAAACTTTCCTTCAAAAGTTTGGCATTTGCCGAACTTTGCCGAATCTGAAGTTCGGCAGATTCGGTGCATCACTAATTTTTAGGTTGCTTTTAAAAAGAAATGTGGCACTTAAGGGATTAAGGTCACGTGACGTCAATTTTCCTGTTAAACCTAGTGGGGAAACTGAATATAGGTCACGGGAGATGACGTCATGCGACATGATTTTGTAAGACTGTGCGCATTGCATTATAGGACATCACAGGACGTATACACCAATTCAACTTGCCCTCTAAATTTAGGGAGGAAACTGGATTGGTGTGTAGGTCTGTGACGTCCCATAATGCAACACTGCGCACGTTGCATTATGGGCTGAATCGATGTTGACGTCACGGGAGGTCACATGACCTAAATTTTCCCACTAAATCTAGCTAGGGAATTTAATCCGGCTTCAGGAAGTCAGGAACAGCTGGCCAAAGAATGTTTCACGTTAAAAAAATGAGAACAGTTACGCAAAAAAATTGTGGACTTTTCGTACACCACGATTTTGAAGTCTTCCCAGTACAAAATATTGCCTCGCAAATTAAGAATAGTCATTTCCGTCGCTTTCTATTAAAAAATAGCACATTAAAAATTCTCAGTATTTTCGTTTTTTGGTTACGTGTCATTGTTTTATGGATGTTTTGACAATGCTTTTATGAGGGGATTTCATTTAATTTGGTTTTTGCATTATGCAGCTGAACTGTATCCCAAAGTCTCACTTTTTACCCTAAACAAAAGGTACAAAAAGATATTTCCTGTAACTTGGGGAAATTATCTTTCTCTTTTCCTCTTCATAATAATGATATTTTTATAATAACACTGCTTTGAAAACATTCTGTTAGCTTTAGTATAATGGTGAAGGTTAGATGAGAAATTACCTTTAACCGACAAAAAATGAGTCATCACGTTGTTATATTATGCCATATTTTTAATCTGTGAAAATGTTTAGTGATATTGATTGCAGGTTCAAGATGAGTATGGAAGAACTATATCTACGTGCTGGGTTTGAATGAGTCTAGCGAATGAATAAGAAAAACAAAGTTCTCTATACTATTTCTCCAAATGGTATAGAGAACTGGGTGTATCGACTTGGGACAGAACAGAGCGTTGATCAGGGTTTTTTTGCAACTGAGAAAGCTTGGGATCCGCCAGTCGCAGCTGCCGGTTTTGTGTCCAGCCTACTTGGTCGCTGTTGCCAACGCTCATCCCAGTTTTCACCTGCAGGCGTCCCCCCTCCATGGAGCCCATTGTGGAGCAAGAGGAGGTTCATCATGGGAGTATGTCGCTCTGCTCGTTGTGTGACTTAGACATAGACTGGCACGGTCTTCTGGCTGCACTCACAGCCATGCGCAGACTGAGCAGCTTCATCTCAAAAGCTGTTGAAAGTGGCAATGTGGACGGATTGGTTTATGACTATAGCATTAACCGAAGGAGTACCGTATTTTCCCAACTATAGTCCGTGAACTATACGCGTTTAGAAGTCTAAATTGTGCGTACTGTAGAGTATCTATAGCCAAGTGGTAAGATGAGCTAGCCAAAAATCGTTGAACATGATAAAAAAAAAAGACGGCACTCAAAGATACGGGACTAAACAAAGGAACATGGGACAAACACGTGCCGACTTGCAACTGAAACGGGAAAAAATGACTTGCAACTGAAACGGCAACATTTTTTGGCTCCACAATTATTGGGTATATCGAGATAAACTTGCCAGAAAAGTTTGGGAAGCTTTCGGCATTTCCAGTTCAGGAGATAAATCTGTCGTCCAGCCATCTGTAGCACTGTCTGAAAAGGAACTCGCATTTTGGCATTCCACTGTGAAAAGTTAAAGGGAAGTTTCAATTGAAAATTGAAACTTCCCTTCATCCTTCGGTGAAAATTTATGAACCTTGTCCTACTTTTTTTTTCAGACCTATCATTATTACGATATGTTACGGATTTTCTGAAGCACTTAGTATGTTAATGATAGTTTATTCGCAATACGAGTTACTTTGCGAGTTAATGAAGCAGGCATTTTTCAAAGTGTGCAGTGTATAACATTTTTTTACCTGCAAACAACGAAACGGGTGTGGGCTATGCACCAGGCATCCGAGGAAACTCTTTTCTTTTTCAACCAAAACTCGCTCTTGCGGACTGCGGTGGGGAAAATGTGGTAGGTACAGGACGAGCTCCAATCGGCGCTCGTACCGTGTACTCCTTTTGCTTGGTTTTTGAGTGTGCTGCCTCGTTAACGTGAGTTTGAGGGTCCTCATACAATCTTAAAGAAGTCCTCTTGTTCTCGGTATTGATACAGTAAAGCGGTGCAAGAGTCTATAGACTTTGTTGAGTAAACAATAATGCATGGGGTGCTTGGCTTAGCGCATCAACACTCAAATCTCCTAAGACATCACATTGGCAAAGTCTCTGTACCCGAAAAGCTGTTCAACCTCTTGTGCCATTGCACAACTTGGAAAAATGTACCCAAAATTGGGACAGCATATTCTGGGAAGGATTCGTTTGACTTTATATGCAATTTTACAGTGCTTGCCACACTCCTATGGAACACACGAGCTGCGTCTTATTTCGCGGGCCACCACGTCGCGTTTCCTGGAACGGTCCTCACGGAAGAGGCCGCTCCAGGCCGAAATCTGGAATGGGCGGGAAACTAGGAACCAGTTTTGCCCCCTGGGCAATGTACACATTCAGCCACTCCCTCATCACGATTTTGGCCTCGTGCGAGTGGCCTTCCTCGGGCCGTTCCATGGAGCGCTACGTCACGTGGCAGTTTTTGGGCTGCCTCCGGGACGACGCTCCCGCGAGATGAGACGCAGTTGGCGTGTCCAGGGTAAGTTTGGCGAGCATCGTACAATTAGAATCGATCGGAAGTGCTGACCGGTTGGTACTGGCACTGTTACCAAACGGCGGCTGTGGTGGCACGTACGGCCAAAAACAGTGGTGCGAGTGTCAAACTGTGCAGTTTGGCGCAGTTACCTCGCTACATCCTGCTACATTTTGCCAAAATGTGAGGAATTTGTGCCAACATTGTGCCAAAACTTATTTTCACTCCATTAGTTGATATAATAAATTGGGGCCCCGTTACAATAAGCTAGTTTGCATTTCCAAACTTTCGGATATCAATTAAAATGATGTATTCAATTTGATCTCCATATCAAACATACTCTCAAGTTGTGCAACATCTCTCATGCTCTTTTCTGAGGGAATGGCCAGTATCGTTAGTGTACTTGTCACCGCATACTGCAGTGAAGCGACAACCGCGTAGTAGATGTCGCAATTTTGCATACTGTAAACAACTTCAATTTCACAGGCTCAAATTTTCGCGAATCAGGCTTAAGCTGAAAATTTGACATTATTTGCGGGTTTGAATTTTCGCGAATCGAGTGTAGCATCCGTAGCGTTCACATACTGCCCGAATTGTTCGTGGGACATATTTTTCGCAAATTGTATGCGATTCGCGAAATTCGCGAAAATTGGGTCCTTGCGAAAATTTAGTTGTTTACAGTATCTTGCTTTGCCGCAGTGCACCCGCATGCTAAGGTGAAAGCACTCCGCATAGTTTTTGTTAAAAAAAGCCAAAAATATTGTGGAATTGTTATACTGCCATTTTCTTGCACTGTTGAGAGCTGCTCAGTGTCATTCTTCACCTATATATTTTGCGGTTTTGTATTCTAAGATTTCCAGCCTGTCTTGAAAGCTTCTGCTTTATTTTTATTATGCGTGCCCTTTTTGCGCTATATTCCCCTTTAAGAAATAGGGCTGGTAAGTGCCTGGCCATTCAAGTGTTGCCACTCGACATTCACGGGAAATGGGGGAGGGGACGAACGTGGATTGGTCCTCGACGCCATTTTGCGAAAAATGACAACTGTTCTCCCCGCTAAACATAATGTGGGTAAAACAGCGCATAACGACAAAGACTAGAAGGAAGGAACAACCAAGACGGGGCAGGCGCTGACTCATAGCTAAAGGTTTTATTACAGAAAACATCAAGAGTAAACACGCAAGGTAGCAATCTACACATGCGCCAACCTTTCTGCCTCATCACATGGCACACCGGTCATCCACGTGCCACAAACTCCCGCCTCCCCCCCCCCCCCCCCCCCCTTCTTTTTTTTGTCATTGTTGAAGTTATTTTACAGATAGTATCACCGACGGCTCGCTGATGCACTGGGCCCCACTTTCTGCTATGTAAAAGGCCTCTATCACCTCCCTTGTCTTTGTGCTTATCTACAAGCGTAGTCTCCTCGAAGGACGGCTTGCTCAAACCGGTCTTACGGTGCACATCCAAATGCCCTCCGATTGTGGCTCCCAGCGAATAGTTGCGCTCCCTGAGCCTATCATTTAAGCACCTCCCTGTCTGTCCGATAAACACTTTACCCCACACCGGAAACGCAGCTCACTAACGGCTTTGCGTGTTTTGTTTTTGCACTTGCTCTTTGAGGGCCCTTCTGCCTTGGCCCTTACCCTCGAACATTTCTGGCTCAACTAAATTGTGAGACCTTGTGCAGGTATGGGATGACGACAGTCCTTCGCCTGTCCACCACTTTCTTAGGGGGTGAGGTTCCCTTTTTAACAAGGGTGGTGGCAACATCACACAGCAAAGCATGCAGGAACCCAGCGCCTGAAACCTCTCATGCACCGTGTGGACGCAGAACCTGTTCAGGGCTGCGTCCAAGCAGGAAGTCACAATGCCCCTTTTGATAACCTTCGAGTGGGCTGACCTATAGTCTAAGACAGCTTTTTTTGACTGAGGGCTGTACGCCCAGCAGATACGACTGCCGCCCAAGCGAAGGGAAAAGTCCAAAAACTGCAGGACCCCCTCCTTGGAAACCTGATGCCCCCACCACATTCGCCATAAATTGCCAAGACATCCACCACTGAGGACACCGTGCCGTCAAAAACACAAAAAAATCATCGCCATAGCGAACCAGCTTTTTAACCATGGTGGAACCCTTCAATGTCTCAATCAACTCTACTCAATCACTCCGTACTATACACGAGCCAATACAAATGCCCGACCTTTGAACATACATCATTCATTCTTCCACCCGACCACCACGCTGTTTTACCTAAATTACGTTTAGCCTGCACCGACTAGCCCAACTTTCAGCTTTGGTTCTCCCCGCTCTCAAGAGATGGTCTGCGCAGAGTTATTCTCAGTCATGTCCAAAAATAGCTGCAACGGATTCGTAGCAAATGTTCCTCGGTCGTGAAAAATGGATGCTCTCCAAAATGTGCCCCGAAACCCTTAGATTCGGTCCTTTTGTTAAGATGTGGTTGTCCTCGACACTGTACAGCTGTGTTATTTGAGCTCTTTCTCAAATCAATCCTTTTTGGATAATGCCGCACTGCGTGGTACTTACAGAATGTCGATAAATTTTATGTCCGAGTCCTGTCCATTGGTAAGCAGATTTTATTTGTGCGCGTGAAATATGCGTGCCTTTCGGTTATCTTCTGGCATAAATTATTTTCGATAGCTAAGCACTTTGTCGATTAACACGGCTGAGCAGGTGGCACTGTCAAAACTCGTGAAATATAATGTACATTCTAGTCGCATTCATTCTGTCGTGCGCATACCCAACAAAAATGGTTTACAGTTTGTTTTTGGTTTCAAACATGAAACAATGCTTTCCTAATGTCCTTGAAGAAACACATACTACATGAAATCCAAAATACAGTCGGAAAAGGCAGCAATTTAGCCGCGAGCAGTGTCTGAAACGGCACCTACGCAGGCTGTGCCAATCGAAACCACTCAATTAAGGGTTCAAATAGTGCCACTATGATATTGGCAGTGATATGAATGCAAATGAAATCTGTGCTTATGCTCCAAAAGGTGCTTTAAAATCACTTTATTGCGAAGGTCAAATTTGATGGCTTGACACAGACCAACGAAGGGCATCGGCATGCCCTGGTGGGGGCCGGAGGATTCATTTCGACCACTATCTTTCAACGCGCAACCGAAATCATGGTCATGCGTCGAGCCTCCGTCGGATTGCAGGCATCTTGGCCGGGATTCAAACCCACCACCCGAGGCGTGCGCATTTTGCGAACTGGTTGAAGTGCGAGACTAGACACACGATCCGCCACCGGTGTAGAGCGGTCGACGATTGAATATTGGCCAAATGGGCCTAGTGCCGACGGAGCACACTAAGCGACACAAACAACTTCCCAGCGCCGGCCCAAGCCGGTCCGTCCGCCGCCCGGGAGGAGGGAGCCATGGGCGCAGTGTGGAACCGCCTGGCGAGAAACTGCGACGCACACGGCCTGTGCACCATGGAGCGCCTCGTGACGCCCGACGCCTTCTGCCGCCGGGAGGTTGCCCACACCTTCGCCACCCTGCTCGGTGAGTGCCCATGGCTTCCTGCATCGTCATTCGTTTACATCTATTTCCTTCAAGCAGTAGCGGCAGCGCCGGCTGCGGCAGCGGTTCCCGTAATGTCTCCTTAAATATGGCAAGAAGGCGCGAGAGTTCCCGCCCTGGCTCTCTCTCTCCCGGGCGTTGCTGCTCCCGGAAGAACGCGTACTCGTGACGTAGGCAGCTTCGCGCCGCGCAAGAATGTCACTTCCGGTCAGCGAAACGCCTCGTTCGGCGGCAGGAAATAGATCCCGGACTTATACCACTCGCCGCCGCGTTTTCCGCCCGGCGTTTCGCCCCAGCGGCAAAAGCTGGGCGGATTCGCTAGCGAATTCGCAAGTGTAATGGTACGTTTACACCTGATAAGAAATCCGCTACCGGCAGCGGCGGCGACGAGCGGGTTGCGTTTACATCTATTTCCTTCGAGCGGCGGCGGCGACGTCGGCTGCGGCAGCTGTTCTCGTAACATCCCTTCAAATATGACGAGAAGGCGCGAGAGTTCCTACCTCAACTGTCTCTCCCGGAAATTGCTTCTCCGAGAAGAATGCGTACTCATATGACGTAGGCAGCGTCGCGCTGCGCAAGAATGTCACATCCGGTCAGCGAAACGCCTCGTTCGGCAGCAGGAAATAGATCCCGGACCTATACCACTCGTCGCCGCGTTTTCCGCCCAGCGTTTCACCCCAGCGGCAAAAGCTGGACGGATTCGCTGGCGGATTCGCAAATGTAAACGTACCATAAACGTACCATTAGGCACCCGTTTCTGGCTTGAGCGGCGTCGCCGTCGGCGTAACCGTAAGGTCACGTCACCCCTCCCCCCCACCTCTGAGGTCACATCGCTATGAATTTTACTAACCACTCCGTTCTGTTTTCTTTTTGAATCTCATAAAAGTTACTCGTTATCATTAAAACTGTATTATGGTTTTTTTTTTAAATTTTATAACATGCTTTTTAGAGAGTGACAGCATCTGGCGACATTGTGTCAGTCCATCTTGACCTAAAACAAAGTCCTGTGTCACTCAGGGAATTTCACAAAAGTACTCAGGGAAAACCTTGAAAACTCAGGGAATTTGAAAATGTCAACTTGGTAGACAACCTGCCACAGCAAACCTATGCAGGGAAGCCATTGAACAAATGGCGCTGCAGTCATTCGCCACATGTCCCAAGGTGTTCTTGCGGTGTGTAGACGACTGCTTCACTACTCTAGATACATCCGAAGTGCACACGTTCCCTCAACTCTATCGAGCCGGCCATTCTGTTTACTGTGGATTGAAAAAAGAACTACATAGTGCCAATGAAAGAGCGCCATGAAAACCCACAATTTCTTGTACATTGCACAGTGATGTGATTGCTGCGCCAAACTGTGCCAAAGTGCTTACCCTGCTACATCCTGCTACATTTTACCAAAATGTGAGAAATTCGCGCCAACGTTGCGCCAAATTTAGTTTTGGCGCAATGTTGCACTTTAATGATACTGAAAATATTATAGCTCAGGCCTTGCTGCTCGGCCGGACCGCTACGATATGCTTATGCGAATGCTCAGAACTTTTGGCTATCGTCTGAAATAAAGTACTACTGTATTTGATCGCATTTCGTATGAAAGGCTGACAGTACTCGGAAGTCTCGCAATAATTCTCATGTTCGTCGTCTGTTTTGCTAGAGGATTAGTTAGTCTGGTTGAGTGCGGTCCTCCTCATGCACTGGTGTACTGCAGAGAAGCGAAAACCGCAATGTAAGCATTGCGATTTTGCGTTTTTTTGCTTCGCCACAGCGCAACACCGTGATGAGGGGAAGGCACTCCTCCAGAGCGAGACGCGACACAGTTCCTGAATGTAACTTTGGTTGGTATGTGTGATATACTACGATATCCCGGCGGTACCTATTTCCATATCGAGATTTAGCAAGGATACTCTGGTAGTGCAAGAACATTTATATGCTCTCTTTCGTATGTTTATTTCTTTATTTATGCCAACTAATTTGTTTAGCTTTCACTGTCATATAGATGTGAGTAAATTAGAACCAAGTTGGCAGGAACTGTGAATGGAAGCTTGGGAACAACTTAATGAGTTTGGCAGAATTGTTTTCGAAGTTTTGTTCCCATACCGTTTTTGTTATGAAGTTCTACACATAAAATGTAACTGACGTTCATAATCAAATGACAAGTGCTTTGTTTTTTTTTATCTGAATTATAAATGGCTGTTTTGTTACAACCTTTAGAACTCGAAGGAACCATTATTTATGGGTTCTATATTATTGTATTATTTCAGTGAGATTCAGTACCTAAAATAACCATTCACAGCAGTTTGTGCTGTCCTTCTTCACTCACTTTCTCACCGTGTCTGGTGCTTCTCCACGCAACTAAACGCTAGTTTTGTGTTTGAGGGACTCCCTCCCTGCTGTGCAATTGATGCAAACTAAGGGTTGCATGTCAGTGAGAGGGCAATGTAGACATTGTATTTTAGTTGGACACGCCGACACATCAACCTTAACATAATGTCTGCATTGGTATGAATAAGAATGATGCTACAAAAGTTATTTTTGCTGCTCCAAAATTGACTTTTGGCTGCTCCAAGAGCTGCTCCAAAATGACTCGGACCAATCACATCACTGATTGCAGTTTGGTACATGACTATTTGATCGCTACAAATAAATACAGCTGCCAATTTTTATTTATCGAACATTCATTTTGTAATACAAAAAACAAAAAAAAAAGTTTTTTTATTTTCCCGGTTCAGTTCCAAGATGGCGTCGAAGATTTCGGTTTGGTTCAGTTCTGGTTCGGCTAAAAATAACGGTTTGGTTCTAGTTTTCGGTTCCGGTTTGACACTCTGGTGAAGAGTGTTGCTTGCCCATTGAGAAGTGACTGTTGGAGAGTCATAATCGGGAGCAGTTTTGCCGTGCCCGCTGAACAGAAAGATAGGGGACCCTCACTAAAGCATTTCCCGTTACCACTGTGACAGGGCGAGCAGCGAGCTGGAGTCGCGAATACTGACAGTAAATGATATTACGTTTAAGGCTGCACTAGCTAATTATTACTCTATTCACGTTTGTATTCCCAAATCCCCACCCCTCTTTAATGCTCTGTAAGAAACAAAGAAGACCAGACAGGCACCATAAACCATCCTGTACAACCTTGTCAAAGAGATGTGCCAGTCTGATTAAAAGGTTAACAATACTTATCTAGAGTAACTCATTTCACACTAACAAAAACGTCGGGTCCATGGTGCGGAATGAAAAATGCTTTGTGGATTCCTCCAGCGGTCTTGTTAGGATGCTTGGCCAATATTTGATTACTATATGTAGCTAGGGAGTACAGCCACACCAATTGCAGTTATGCGGCTGAATGTACGAGCCCCGTCGTTTACACCTTGCCACAGGACAGGGGTATCTTTTGAACGACACCAACTGCGTGAGCAACATATCTGCAATGGTGTTTCACGACGCATTGCAGATATTGGCATTACAAACTTGATGTTTTGGTTAGTGTGGAACAAGTTGCTCTTTCTGATGGTCAATATAACCTATTAAAGTGACACTGAAATATCAGCTAGTTTCATATCTTTTGTGTGCATCGATCCTATTCGAGGCGATTTGGCTGTTCAGGGAGCACACGAAATCAACAGCTGACAGTGAAACTCTCTGATGACGCAGGGATGCACAAGCGGAACCTGGTGCACCTGTCGCAACACCAGCCTTACGGACCGATCGTCATCGAGAGGCTGCAGGATGACCAGAAGACGCCAGAGTTGCCCTTCCCAGGCGGCCTTTAGCTTGTGGCTGTACGCTGTCCCACCAACTGGACTGCTTTGCCAATTCGACAGACGCCATTGGGTGTGCCATTCTGGCAGCTACAAAGAAAGAGCTCGCAACTGCCAAACTTGCTAACCGCTAGTTTCTGCTAGTCACAGTTGTTATCATTCCTGGTAGGATATACTCTCATGACAGCTGTGTGTAAGGCTGAAAGTTTACATTCTTGCCTAACTCAAGGTGCCTTTGGAATGTACCGCATTACATGTGGCTTACAAAGGGGACGGTCACGCCAAGCGGTACATGCTAGTCATTTATCTTCGTTTCCGTTTTCTGCTCAAACTGACTGCCTCACAAAGTACAAATGTTTATCCTACGCTGCATAGTTTATATGACCAGTGCGAAAGGGCATTCCTCTACATCACATTTTCGGGCCTCGCGTACAATTTTTTCATCTCAAAAATTTTCTATCCAAATTAATTTTTTCGTTTGCGGGAAAGCTTTTGTGGTTCTTTCTGTTGTCAAGCTGGTGCAGGCAGCCTGCAGTACAATGTGGCCGAAATGGATTGAATGCGCTTTAAACTGACCGTATAAATCGGTTTCTTAACTTATCAGAGCTGCTCTAAGCTGGTGCATTCATTAATCTAGAGTATGAATACATGAAACCTCCGGAGTCAAAAGAAAGAAAATAAAAACTGGCCTTATCTATGTTTTCTGAAAATCGTCAGAAAATCGCTGTTGCTTTTACTTCGATTAAAAAATTTGTGAAATGGAAAGAAAATAGAATTGGCTTAAATATTCTTCACTTCATTTGACCCAAATAAGTGCCACAGTGACACATACTTTTTAGTAGGTTTTTCTCGATTTACTCGGATGAGCCAATCTTTCCACAATTTTAGTGAAAGCTTCCACCAACTTCAGGCACCTCTATAGTAAATAAATCCCAGTGCAATAAGTTAAGAAACCAAATTATGCGGTCAGTTTAAAGTTTGTTCAATTCCTTTTGTCCACGCTGTACTGGCTTCCCTTTTTCAGTACCTGAAAAAAAAAAAAAGTTTTTTTGTGGTTTGTGGAAAAGGATTCTCATACTGCTTTTAATCCCATTTTACAGTTTATGTATGTTCATTGACCTCACCTCATGACGGCTGTTTTTTTGACAATCCCACTTTGGTGTGTTCTTTTATGCTAGTTGCTGAGAGTGCTGTGTGGGTTTTGCACAGTCACAAACCATGGGAACATTGACAGGCATTGGTAAATATTTTGTGCGCCATAATTTTTCGGTACTTTGCCGCAGTGGCCCTGTTTTTTGGCCAGCACTCGCGTTAATGTTTTTCACTGGGCATGTGCTCTGCTGCAGAACAATTGTGGAGCACATAGTTTTTACAGCTTTACATTTATAAATAAATCTGCTTTTGCAGTTAACAATATTTGGTGTGGTTCTTTAAAACGGATTGTTACAGTTGACGAGTAACCGCCACTGCTAAGACTGACATTAGATTGTAAAATATCACATACTCTTTTTTCAGCCAAGGATGAAATATGTAGCTAGTGGTACACAGTGTCCATTGTGAGTGCTGGCTGGCACATGTTCCATTGCTCGAAAAAACATGGCTTCCTAATTAAACCATGTTCATGAGGTCAGAATTTCAATGTGCAGAGCTAATGCTTTTTCCATATTTTTTCCACTCACATCAGAAGAGTGGAATCACCTTGTACCAATGGTACCAATCAAAGATCACCAACAGTTCAGAAATGTCGCAGCTAATATATAACAAGAGGCCATTTTACTAAACTTGGCAACAACCTTTATTCCAATATGTTTATTTGTCTTTATTTATTTGCCTTATGTCTAGAAACAGCCAATGCCTTGCTACACACTCACGTGCAAAATACAGTTTAAAAAGAAAAAAAAACAACATACACATAATGGCAAAGCACATATAAAACCTGAACACTGATGTTAGTAAATGTGAATGGTTAGTGTGCTTTTAAAATTCCACTCACTCCCGAAAACGTCAACCACTGCACATTAAAATTGCTCTGAATTTGTAAAATTGGGGATAATGAACATATGTCTTGCACGTAAAACGTGTTGTGGTGTCGACAGTTTACTTGAGGGACATGTATAGAAAGCAGAGAAACAAGCCGAGGGCACAGTTTTATACAAAAATACATAATCACGAAAAGTGCGACGAGCCTCCAGTGATTGCAAGTTTAGTCGATCTAATATGAACTCGTAGCCCGAAAAAACCGGCGGCCGTAATAACAGTCGTAAACAATGCATGCCAACTTTCTCTGCACACATTCAAGGCCATCAGAGTTGGTCACAGCCAGACAGTTCCAAACTCAGAGCCAAACCCCAGTTTTGAGGGCACAATCGATGTGTAAAGCCTGACGAGGCAGGACGGTTCTTTGAAATGATGGGTATAATACGTGAAAACAAACCTAAAAGTCGCAAGCAAGAGCTGGCCAAATTTGGCACATGATTTGTAAAACTCCCAAGTCACGTACGCAATATTCGTGTCCCAATGGCCGATTGTCCAGCTTATACAAAAAAAATCAAGCGCACACTTCTTCCTCGATAAGGAGGTAACACATGTTTTTTTGGCATTTAGACATAATTTATTTTGAAGACACCATGATGAAATAGCAGTAATATCCTCCTGTCACAATGAACATGTGATTTTATTTGTTTGAAGATCTTAATATCATCAGCGAACTGCAGCAGATTTGAATGTTTGACGCAAAGAGAAACGTCGTTGGCAAAAATATTAAAGAGCAACGGTCCCAGAATAGAACCCTGAGGAACGCCGGATGATATGCATGATCTCGACAACACACCGCTAACACAAGCATTGTTAATGCGCTTGGACAGATATGACTGAAGTCATGCTACACAAGGTCAAAGGCTTTACTCGAGTCAAAATAAATGGCGTCGACCAGCCCATGGTTGGCAACAATGGGGCCAACGTGACTCAAATACTCAGCTAAGTTAGTTTCAACACAGATTTAACAAAACCGTGCCGAGGTTCATATTTCTTTGAAATAGCTATAAACGTGAATTTCTACCACAATCTCAAACAGTTTCGAGAATGTGGTTAGTAAGGAAACGGGTCTATACTTTCTAACATCTGCAGAGTCCCCTGATTTGAAAATAGGCACCACAACGGCTGACTTGCACTTTTGTGGAAAAATACAGTTTTGAATAGACAAGTTAAAAAGGTAGGTCATTGACATACCTTTTTAACTTGTCTATTCAAAACATTGTTTGTGCCGGTCTTGACTCAAGACCGGCACAAACGCATCAGAGCAACCTTTAGCAATAAACGCTGGTATGCTATCGGAACCCAATGAAAGTTTAGGTTTCAAACGTCTAAAATAATCGTGCACTACAGTATGATCGACAGTAAATGGGGCTACCAGTTTTCGCAACAACATGATTAATCGCTTGTGGGTCTAAGCTCGCAGATTGCATATCACACAAAAATACACTTGAGAAGTATGACGAAAACATTTCGCCGACAACACGGGGGTCACAATAAAAGCCATAACCATTTGACAACGTAATGAACCTGGCTTCTGTGCCCAGTACCTTATTTTTGTACTTCCAAATATTGTTAGGACTTTTTAGCAGTTCGTTCTCAATGTTATTCCTGAAGTTTTCTCTTTGATAAAGAAACTTTACTTCAACCCTCGCCCTACTAAATTTCACGTACCAAGCATCACTACGTGGCCATGTTTATAATGACGATGAAACCGTAATATTTCTTCGATTGTACGTTTCAGTTCAGATGAAAACCACCATGGAAACTTCTGCCTTTTCCTCGTCTTAAAGGCGGGGGCTCAAAATTTTCTTCAGCGTGGCAGAAGATTCCCCCTCTTTTCTTTTTTTCCTCCTCCCCTTTCCTCCTCCATTTTCCTCCTCGCTTTTTACGGCCTTCTCGCACGAGTGCTAATGGGCTTACCGGCCCCCCGACAAAATCTCTGTAACCCTTCAAGGTTCTCTGCTTCAATCCCAAAAACCAGGGATTAGTTTGGCAGGCTGGATATGAGCTCGGAAGGGCTCGGGCTGGCTCGCTTTTCTTCTTTTTTTCGTTTTGCTCTTTTTCTGCAGTTCTAAAACACACTCAGATAGTCAACACCAACTAGCCCAACAACAAGTTCTTTTACATTCAGATACTTTCGCATGCGGCCACACACGCTACACCACCGCATATTTATCTCGAGTGAACGGAACTTGAACATCTCAGCAGAAGGAAAAAAAGATGGGTATTTTTATCTGAACTTTGAGCTCTACCCAGAGAGTTGAAAATTGGTCGTTCTAACAGCGGCACACTGAAGAGTGGTATCACTATTGTGTTTTTGTTTTTCTGTTTTTTGTACAAAGTAATAATCATGAGTAATTACAAGTTAAAGATATTGCACTCAAAGGGACACAGTCTGACCATTTCTGAGGCATAATATATAGGTTCGTACTACAGGTGTTTTCTAGTGTGACGGCCGCCTCGTGGAAGCTGCTAAGAAGAGTAAAAACAAACTTCCATAAAAAAAGTGAAACGGTTTATGGTATATTTCATCTATCTTCAGCCTTTGAAAAAAATTTCTTCGTGGCCAAACGTGCATTTAGTTTCTGTCGACAAATGTAACTGAAAACTTGACACCCGACAAATATCTTGCGTATCAGCAAAGAGAAACACGGAGATAGAACCGCAAAATCACAATTTTCTTCGCGTAAAATAGTGCAACTAGCAATATTATGCCACTAGCAATATTATGCCGTTTATTAAAAGACAGCATGCAGGTATTACGAAGTTTTCATTCTCTTCTGTTGGCATTTGTTCGCTGATGAAGAAACGGAATGCCCAGATAGCCTCTGCAGCCCTTACATAATTGTTTGGGGCTATGTCAGGGTGGGCGAAGGCCATCTCCAAAAAAACCCAGGAGTTCGGAAGGTGTACTACCGCAAGTTTTGGGGCTGCTTGGATAATTTAGGCGTCTGGCGTTCCCCGCCTACTTAGAAAAGGAGTGGAACAGCGGTCAGCTCAACGTCGTCACCAAGCGGGAAATCATGCCGAAATGTGTCCTTGAACACGTGCGAGATCTTTACCCGAACCCAGCCGGGATTCGCCACAATTAATCTACGAAAAAAATTATAAAAAGGGGTAGGCTTAAACGATTTGGCAGTTTTTGAATATAGTCATGCGGACTAACTGTCCACAAGTACGGAAAGAAATGCAGTAGAGATGCAGAACTCTATTGTGTTCTTTATGTCCATACTTGTCTTTCGCGCTGTACGCCAATTAAAATGAATTCTGCAATATCTGTAGATTATGCCTGGTTATGTTGTCTTTAAAAGAAAAGAAATCAAGCAAGTTCGGTATCGTGCCACAATTTGTGCATATACAATTTTATGTGGAATTCAAATTCAAAACAGTACTTCCGCGGGAAATAATGCATCCGTCGTTCTTCGTCTTCCTGAAGCTATGAACTACCGATCCCGGCTACAGGACTTTTGTGTCCACAAAATATCACGCTCAGTAGAAAATTCGCCTTTTCTACCAAAAGTACTGAAAATTATTTATTTTTCAAACAGGTCGGGTGGTGATGCGTGTTTGAGTGTAGAACCGTTGACTGGGCACTGGTTTGCGCCAAGAGTGCAGTGCTTCCTTTCATGCTGCCCGCGACGAGTGTTGAAATTTCAATATAGTAGAAATAAAATCAACTGACAGCCTTAGAATTATTTTAAACTTGCGCTTTTTTCAGGCATTAAGATTTTTATCGCACCTTTTATTCATTGTCGTCTTCGATGAGGGAACAACTTGCCGAGGAGGCCGCGCTGTCCGCGTACGCGCCTTGACAGATAAGGTCGCGAACGCTTTTCACGAATCTTTAAAGACCAAGCATAAAAATGAAAGACGCAGCCACTTTACGCCAATGAATTAAGCCAACTTTATGTTTTGGGTAGACGTCTTGCGAGAGTTGCAGTATTTTTAATTATGCCTAATAAATTAAATGTTTAGGACTAAGTACCAAACTTTTTTAGATGTATTAAGAACCAAATTGGAAAGTTCTAGAGCTGCTTGAGAAACACCCGAATTAGATGTTTGCAACGTGATGCGGCTCGCGTGGCTTCCTTCTGACTAGTAATAAAGCTTATGAAACATGACAAGATACCCCGTGATAAAGCGCCCGCCCCATCATAAACTCAATTTCGAATGTCGCGGGATTTGTTTTCATAGGCTGGAAAAAAAAAAAAAAAAGAGATGCATGCAAGACGCGTGCCCCACGCTTTATTTATATCAGAAAAGAACTGCCCTGTATTTTATATACAACGTTTATTTTTTTATTTTTTTTCACCTACTAGATATTAGAAAAAAACGTGGAAATTAACGTTTTGTGGATGTGAGCTAAACGGCCAGGCGAAGATTGGGCTCAAGAAAGAACGCAACAAAAACCGACTGATTACCTAACACGTGTTAATGAACTTTTTGATTATAAAAGAAAACGGGATAGTTGATTTATAAA